CATTATCATTGGGACGGTCTGCAAGCTGACTTCTCCTCCCAACAGCTCCCTGCCATCGATCGTGGTTACCTGCAGGGGGTTGCTTAAAGGGAGCGTCTGTATCTGGTGTTCAGCTGCAAACTCTTTGCTCATGAAATTGCAGGAGCTGCCTGAGTCCAACAGCGCCTTTATCTTTAGAGGGTGTCCGTTTGGGAGCTCTAGTGTCACTTCTATCACTAGGGCGGGTTTAGGAGGTTCTGGAGTGGGCACTTTCACTGCTCTTTGGCCTGGCTGCTGTGCCCCGACAATGGCAGCCAGGCGTTGGCTTTTAGTTGCTCCGGTATTTTTCCTCTCTTCCCTCCACAGCTCCCACCATCCCTTGCCATTCCTTCCTCTGGGGGCAGACTCTGGCAAAGTGCCCTGGCTGTTGGCAGAGTTTGCATTTGCGGGCGGCTTTTCCATGCTTCTTTCCCCCTCACTGGGCTTTGAAACTGCGCGCGCGCGCTGTTCCGATTTCCATCGGCTCTGCCGGCGGGACAGTTGGCTCTGGAATGTCTGGAATGCGGAACTCCTTCCAACGTTCCCCTTTCCCTTCCCGCCTCTCCAATGCTCTCGCCTCCTGGCGCGCTCCTATGGCCAGCGCTGATTTGGTCAGCTGGTCCATAGACTCCGCCCTGGGCGCCCGGGAAAGTTCATCTTTCACAGCCGAAGAAAGCCCTTCTTCAAAGAGCATTTGAATGGGTTCCGCCGATAAGTCCCACCCCAATCTGTGTATCAGCATGGTGAACTCAGTCCAGTACTCACGTACAGATCGGCTCCCCTGTTTGCAAGCCATTAACTGTCTGCGCACCACTCCCTTTTCAATATCGCTGGAAAACATCAGATCCATGGCGCGAAAGAACTTCATCGTGTCCTTTAGGACGTCACTATGCGCTGCCATCAGGGGTCTAACCCAGTCTCTCGCCCCTTTTCAAGATGCCCAATCACAAAAGCCACTCGTGATTCCTCATCAGGGAAATCATCAAACTGCAGATTGAGGGCATATTGCATTTCTGTCCGAAAGCTATGATAGTCTTTGGGCTCCCCCCCAAATTTTTGCACCAATCCTGGTACCTTTCTGGCGAGCTGGGTGGCTTTCTCCCTTTGTCTGCATCTTGAGCCCTCCTCTCCTCCAGCCTCGCCGTCTGCAGCGCCAGCTGGACCTCCAACACTCGGTACCTTTCTTCCAGGCTTGGACCCGCTCCAGCCCCTGCTTCTCCGGTTCCTGCTGGGTTGCTCATTATGCCTTCTCCTGCACAAGCTGCGTTCAAAGACTGTCGGAATGCTGTGATGGGATTATGAGCTGCTTGTGCGTAAAATCGTATTCCCTCAGAGTTTGTTCAAGTCCACAAACCTCTGTCTGTGACTGAGCCCCTCTGACATGGCTCCTCTTAGTCACTAGAAGATTCCGACAGTGGTTGCTTTCGTAATCGCTTCCAACATAAAAGCTCCTTAACGGAAACACGTCTTCTGGACTCTCTGCGTGACAGTTTCCGGCGAGGAGTGGGTGTCGCTACAGGAGGTCCGGAAACCTCACCACTGTTTTCGCTGGAAGTATCTCTGAGCCATCCCCCCAGCTCCCTTTCCCTCAGTTCAGCTTCTCTCCCCCTGCTGGTTTCCTCTTCAGCTGCTAAGTCTCTTCCAACCTGTCTGAGTCCTTTCACCTCCCTTCCTACCGATGGCAGTTCCCTGACAGCAACACAGAGTGCATTGCACACCGTTCGATACAGAGGACTGCATTTGCCCACCAGGCCTGATATTCCTCGTTTGTGATATAGGCAAAGAAATAGGCCTAAGGATGACTTATAGAGAAGATGGCCATAAAAAAACCCAAGAAATAATTTGATATAGCTGCAGCTTAGCATCAAAACCAAACCAAGCTAAATTAAAAACAGCTTCACACTGTCATTCTTTCCAGCTATAAATTAGCCATTCTGTGTTTGTGCAAGAATTATAAGCGAAACAAGATAAAACCCTGGGAGCATTTAACAGCTGTTCCCTAATGAAAATGTGATGAGCGAGGCTGGGAACAAAGGGGTAAATTGATGAATGCTCAGATGTGGAGGCCTATCCCCCCCCCGCAAGTATTTTGGAAATCAAATGATATGTTGTGTAGGCACAGCTAGCTGCTAAAGACAAAAACATCTCTCTCTCTCTCTCTTTTAAGAAAACAAAGACAACCAACTGCTTGCTTGCCTAGACTCAGCAAGTATCCTGCAACCTGGGAGCACCTGTCTTTTCAGAGAGGCAGAAGAAGCACAAAAGAAGCACCCACAGCCATACCAAACATAAAAGGACATTCAACCTACATTTAAATCACATGACTCCCCCGCCAAAGAATCCTGGGATGTGTGGTTGGTTAAGGTTGCTGGGAATAGTAGCCCAGTGAAGTGCAACGTACGGTTCCCAGGATACTTTGGGGGAATGCCACATGCTTTCAAAGTATTGTGTGGCTGTGAAGGCAAGGGTGTGTTTAGGGCTGTGTGAGCAGTGCCTATGCTCTAGGTCAGGGGTCAGCAACCTTTTTCAGCTGTGGGCTGGTCCACCGTCCCTCAGACCATGTGGTTGGCCGGACTATATTTTTTGGAAAAAACTGAATGAATTCCTATGCTCCACAAATAACCCAGAGATGCATTTTAAATAAAAGCACATATTCTACTCACGTAAAAACACCAGGCAGGCCCCACAAATAACCCAGAGATGCATTTTAAATAAAAGGACATATTCTACTCATGTAAAAACATGCTGATTCCCAGACTGTCCGAGGGCTGGATTTGGAAGGCGATTGGGCCACATTTGGCCCACGGGCCTTAGGTTGCCTACCCCTGCTCTAGGTGCTGAGCCAAGCAGGGGCACCTTCTCAAAGCCCGGTAAACAAGGCACTGGGTTTGGAGAAGGACACAGGAGGCTCTGACAGGGTCTTTGAATCCTCCCACCTCCTCCTCAAAGCCTAGTTAACGCTTTCCAAGCTTTGGGAAAGAGATGGAAGGGCTGCCATAGCCTCCCACCTCCTTCGCCAAACCCCACGCCTCTCTTGGTCTATGAAGTTCATTGCTATCTAGCCTGTCTCCTCCAGCACTGCTACCTGCTTGGTGCCGTAGAGGACTTCTGTCTATAGCCAAGCTAGACAGTACTGAGCTACATAAACCAATGGTCCAATGCGTTATAAAGCAGTATCTGGAGATGTTGGGGATTGACCTCTAACATATTAATAAATACAAAGCAAGTGCTGTAGCACTGAGCTAGAGCATCTTTTAATCATGTTTAATTCCATTAAGAATTAGTTGCCCTAGTTCCTTATTATTATTATTTTACAATGTGAAGGAGGGCAGATGAATTTTACAATTCTCTGTGAGGCTTTCTGATTCCTCGAGGGTGCTTAGAATCCTTCCTGGATCTCTATTTAATAATCAAATAAATTTTGTGAAGTGTGAACTGCAGGGATGGTTTCATCAGGTGGAAGGTAACAGTGTTAATATATGTAGCTCTAGCAACCCAGGCAGATAGGAATACAAAACATTTCTATTGTACCTTAACTGTGATAAAATGATTTACAATTCTGCACGTCCTGATTCCGTAAGGCTGAGCAGCAAATATCCGCACGCTACAAATGGGAAACAGAGTCCTAGGCAGAACAGCCAGTGATTTCATGAGTGAACAAGTTTTTGTATGCCAAGGTCTAAAAGCATTTTGCAATTTGTGCACACATTATGCAAATTGTGTTGTTACAGCCAGAACAGGATTTTTTTTGCAGCAAACAGGTAAGTCTGTATGCATCCATTTCTAAAGAACTGAGGAGACTTACAGGAGAGATCTAATTGGCTATGGTTCCCTAACATGTGCATGTTCAGGGACACTCTCTTGAAGTAATTGATTTAAATATTTATAAACCACATTTTCATAAAATATCAGAACACAGTAGACTAAAAACACAGTAATACAAAAAATAAAAAGTCAACTGAATCAGTATAAGCTAGCTGACAAAGAACCTCAGGTTTGAAAGCCTGTCTGAATAATACAGTCTTTAGATGGCATCTTAAAACGATCCATGATGGCTCCTATTGGCAAGGAGTTCTATTGGCAAGGAGAACTTCTATTGGCAAGGAGTTCCACAGAGCAGGGCCTGCCATACTAGAGGTTTGGTGTCGTGAACTGGTAGGATGATGGGGAGGAGGAAGAGAATCCCAGCGAGGGACTGGGACACACTGGGACAAGCAGGGGATGAGGAAGGAAGTACTCACCGGGTGTCAGAGGATGGTGAAGGGATGGAAGTCAATGCACAGGAATCAGAACACCAGAGCCAGAGGGGCCTCTGTCCTCAGAAAGATGGCGGCTCTGAGGCCTAGGGAGCAGCAGGAGATACACTCTAGGAGGCTGAGGGAGGCAAGGGTCCACAGTCCAGCTCCCTAGCTGGCCAGGTGGGGTTCACTAGCTTTGGGAGGAGGGATGTGATTCTTCAGCTGGAGCAGGCTCATAACAGGTGAGAGTCACAAGCCTCATCAAGCCCAGATGCTGCAATCAGCATGCAAGGTATAAAAGGGAATCAGAGCTGAAATGCTGTATCTGTTCAACTGGCCATGTTGATGGACCTTGGCTTGGATGCTCCTGGACCTCTATAGCATGTGCTTTGGGTTTGACTCTGGACTGGCTATTCTGGTTGCTGGACTTCAGACTTGGCTACTTGGATTGACTCTGGACTGCAATTCCTGAGCTTTGGACTGCTTGTGTGACTTGACCCCCAGACTTTATATACTGACTTGCTGCCAGGTAGACCAGGGGTTCAAGGCACTCAGCCCCTCCTAAAGGCCACCTGAACCTTAGGTATATGCAGCATACAAGTCTGCCCTTCACCTATTCAATCCCCAGGTTCAATTCCTGACATCTGGTAGAGGAGCTGTTGCCAGTCAGTGTTGACAATACTGAGTTAGGTTCAACACAGTATTGGGCAGCTTCTGTTGGAGTGGTGGTGGTGGTGCAGCAGAGAGGATCATAGCTCAGTGGCAGAGTATCTGCCTTGCATGCCAATGGTTTCAGGTTCAATCCCTGATATCTCCAGACAGGGCTGGAAAACTATGAGACTTTGCAGAGCCATTTGTGATATATGGGTTTGAAGACTGCAAAAAGGTTGGCTTGTGGAAAGCAAAAGAGTTGGCTGTTATTCTGGAGCATAAGTCTATTTTGCATAAGTCTATATATAGATGGGACGCGGGTGGCGCTGTGGGTTAAACCACAGAGCCTAGGACTTGCCTATCAGAAGGTCGGCGGTTCGAATCCCCACGAAGGGGTAAGCTCCCATTGCTCGGTCCCTGCTCCTGCCCACCTAGCAGTTCGAAAGCACGTCAAAGTGCAAGTAGATAAACAGGTACCGCTCCGGCGGGAAGGTAAACGGCGTTTCCGTGCGCTGCTCTGGTTCGCCAGAAGCGGCTTAGTCATGCTGGCCACATGACCCGGAAGCTGTACGCCGGCTCCCTCGGCCAGTAAAGCGAGATGAGCGTTGCAACCCCAGAGTCGGCCACGACTGGACCTAATGGTCAGGGGTCCCTTTACCTTTATATATAGATGAAAGAAAATCTGAAGTCTTCCTCTTTTCTTCATTTTCTCTTTTTCAGTTTTATGTTTAATAAAATGCTTGGTATTTGATGTTAACTTTTCATTTTTCTTTCTTTTTCAAGCTTCAATAAAAAACTTTCATATTACAAAAGTTAGAAGGACCTAGCCAGAGTTTAGAGTGAGGTTGCAGAGATGTGAGCTAGAGGAAAAGCAGCAAGCTGGAGAGAGAGTCGTCGGAGTACAGTTTGATTTCTGTTTGAATCCAAGGAGAAACAAGACCTTTTTGGGGTGTTAATGCTGTGAAGCCCTCCATCATAAGTGCCTGGAACCCCTGGAATCTCACACCACTCAGAGATGGAGGTGGCATGTAGCAGTATGCTTGCCATTATTGCTGTTGCTCCAGGAGAAGCATCCTGGCATGCAGCAGTTAGCAGCACTCGGTGGGGGGGAAAAGTGGAAATCAAGAGCATGGAGGGATGTGAAATTGGAAAGGAATTGGAAAACATGATCAGAGAAGCTAAATTAGAATAAATCATTCTCTTTTAAAGATTCAATTTCATAGCAAGTTGTCTTTAGTTTCGCAGAATGCACCAAAGTGCATGGAAAATAAGGAGCCTGAATCAATCTATGGGCAAGTACGACACTGTATGGAAGTCGCTGAAATTGGACTAACATATTTAATTACAAAATGCTGAGTTCTCCCAACTATCTGAGAGTGTCAGGTATGACAGTGAGATTCCAAAACAATGGGAACAGTGAAGGGGAAATGAAAATATAATTTATTTACACATCCTGCTTTTGGCTGCGCCATGATACCAACTAAGAAGCGGAGGATTCTCTGCAAAATTGGCTATGTATGAATTAGCCTAGGAAGACTGAAACTTTTGCCCTTTGTTGACAAAGGTTTACTGCAGGGGTGAAAGTAATGCAGTACAAACTCGCCATACAAATTATGACCCTGGTCTGCTGGTTGTAGTGATGCAAAACTATTTTATTCAGTATGCGGTAGGCTTTGTGAAAGACTTGACATTTTTAACATGTGCAGTTTTTCACTGATTGTAAGTCTTTCTGAACCAGCAGAACCAACACGTTATTGTATTGCTTCTTAATTGTGAATTGGAAAATTAGGGCAATTTGAAATTGGAAAATTGTCTGAAGTCCTAGAGTCTAATTGCCTGAAGTCTGCAATTAATCCAGAATGCGGCAGCTAGACTGGTGACTGGCCGCCGGGACCACATAACACCGATTCTGAGAGACCTGCATTGGCTCCCAGTATGTTTCCGAGCACGATTCAAAGTGTTGGTGCTGACCTTTAAAGCCCTAAATGGCCTCGGTCCTGTATACCTGAAGGAGCGTCTCCACCCCCATCATTCAGCCCGGACACTGAGATTCAGCGCCGTGGGCCTTCTAAGGCGGTTCCCTAACTGCGAGAAGTGAGGCTACAGGGAACCGGACAGAGGGCCTTCTCGGTAGTGGCGCCCACCCTGTGGAACGCCTTCCCATCAGATGTCAAAGAGATAAACAACTACCTGACATTCAGAAGACATCTTCAGGCAGCCCTGTTCAGGGAAGTTTTTAATATTTAACGCTGTACTGTTTTTAACACTTGACTGGGAGCTGCCCAGAGTGGCTGGGGAAACTCAGCCAGATGGGCGGGGTATAAATAATACAATTATTATTATTATTATTATTATTATTATTATTATTAGATAGTAATCTCTTTTTGCATGTTCATTTCACTTGTATTTAGTAAACAAAGCTAGAAACTTTGAAACTGGCAAGTTTAATCATTATTAATAATAATTTTTATTATTCTTACCCTGCCCATGTTGCTAAAGATTATTAAAGGGGGGGGGAGAGGTTTGAAAGCAGACCATTCTCACAAGTGATAGATAACCAGTTGTGCTTGTTTGCCAGAGTAAGACATCAGCTGCCCATTGCTTGACCTTTAATTGTCTGGGAGCAGCAGGAAAGGAAGAGGATTTCCATTGGGTAAGTGGAAGTCTGGTGGTTTGACACTGGATTTCACCATCCAGTTTTAAACAAGAATGCTGAACACTGATATTGAAGAAAGAGCAGCACAGTCCCAAAGTAAACAATGCCCTCCCCAACCAAGCAACTCTGTGCCTCTCAGTATAAGGTGATTATGCCTATTGATATCATAGTTGCATCTAATGTTCTAGCTCCAAAGGGCCAACAAACTGGCAAATGTTCCTGTAATATACACAAACATTTCATGGCCTTTTAAACACATCAGAACAGAATGTTCTTCCGCAGGTAATTAATGTAATGTAGACAATGAAAGGATACACTGTTGGAAACTGAAGATTTGGTTTTGATTTGTAGCTTGACGCCATGCTCCTTACAACATGAAATAAAAACATAATTTCCTCATGTGTAGGAAACTGTTCAGCAACCGGTTCCAGCCCTCCCTTCTGGATAACAGAGAACAGTCTGCTTCATCTCCTGACTATCAGCTTTTCAGATATTTGAAGACCACTATCATGTTTCTCTTTAATCTTCTCTTCTCCAGGCTATGTAAATATGATCCCGCACCCAGACCATACTTTAAGATCACCTTCAGAGGTCCTGCTCACAGATAAAACCAGTTAGACATGAGAAGCATGGTCTTCTTGGTTGTGGTTCCACTGTAATGGAACTTCCTTCTGAGTGGTTTGCACTTGGTACTTTCATTACAAGCTTTCAAATGAGCCCTTAAAAACTATCCCTGAGGCTGTTTCTGGGCACCTGGAGCTGTTGATATAATTTACTGAAATCTTTGTTGCTGTTTTGGTCTGATGCAAAAGTGATGTCTCATAGTAATGTATGCTAATTTGATGTGCCTTTTTCTTTGGTTTGTGAAGGTATGGCCTTCAATGGTAGCCTTTAACTACATTAAACAAATTGTCAGTCAATGAGAACATAAACTTTCTGGCTAGAAGTTGCTCTCTAATTGTACATGACTTTTTTGAAATTATTTACATTTCTCAATGGTACGGATCCGTAAGTCCACCTAAAGTGTCATGCATTTCAGACACAGAAAAATTCGTGTAGATGGGCACACAAGAAAATTGCATAAACATCTGTTTCTCTGCAACTATTCTGTTGATTATTTTCATAATGAAAAATGTCAGGCACACTACTTTTGACTGTTATATATATATTTGAGATATTTATGCATTACTCTGCAACTTCCTTCCTGGGGAAGCTAGACTGGCTCCCTCCTTGTTCTTATGCCAGCATGTGTCTTAAGACCTTTTTGTTCTTACAGGCTTTTGAGAATTGACTGCTTTTAATGAAAGGGCTGGTGCAGGGCTGTTTTTATTGTAATTATTTGTAGGTTTTAACATATTTTATATTTGTATAGTTTTAATTCTATTAATGTTTACTTGTTTTTTCTGTGTTTTTACTGATTCTTTTATTTATTTATTTGTAAGCTGCCTTGAGTCTCGCCAGGCAATATGGCAGGAAATAAAACAAATGAGTAAGTAAATACAGCAATAATAGTAATAAGGTGCATAGTCCTTTATTGGCTACAGCAGGAGTGGAGCTCATTTGGCTTTCCGCATGTTACTATACCACAACTCCCATCAGCCCTAACAAACAAAGTCAGTGGCCAGCGATAATAAACAAAATTACTGTACTCCAATAATATCTGGAGGGCCAAGGATTCCCACACCTTCTACTGCATGGATGGCTTGAAAATTTTGAATGAGGACTGAAACCAGATGCGTGACCCTTAATGTTTGGTTTTCACACTTTTTCCCTATTCATAAGATGCACACCATAGCCATGCTGTAAGTAGGGGGTGCATCACAAATGCACACTCGCAGTTCGCAATACTGTGGTGTACTACAGACAGTGTGGCACAATCTTTCACAAAAATGAATTTCAAGAGATAGTATTTATGCAGGCAAAATCAGATGCATGCCATCTACCTTGACAGCAGGGCATATGTGAAAGCTCTATCTGGGTTTCCCCACCCCCCTCCCACCCCCAGAGTACTGCAAAATAATTTTCAAAGGGGGAGGGGGGAGCACACGAGTTTTAAACGTCAATGAATTTTAGCGCGGAAACAGAAGAGAGCACGGCTTCTTTAAGAAAAAGCACGTGACGTTTTGCCCCTTTTAAGCAGAGCAAGATGGCTCTCTTCGATTCAGGGAAGGTGGAGGAATGCGCCGTGGCTTTGCTCCCCCGGACTTTCAAGCGAAGGCTAGCTTTGCATCAGATCCCACAAGGTAGTCTGAAAAGGGGCTGGAAGGAAACTGAGCTGGGCGCAATGGAGGCATCGCTCAGCCTCTAACTGCTTCTAAATTGAGATACGAAAAGAGAAAGCAACTTGCAAGGCCGCCGTATCATGAACCCGGACCAAGCTGAGACTGCCAACTGGAGGACGAGGATGCAGAACAATGATAATCGGTGAATCCGAAAAGCAAGATTCTGCAACCACTTAGCAGTGAGCAGCGGCGCGCACTTTGCAGCGCAAACAAGCAAACGCATTTCTTTACTCAGAAGTAAGTCCTGTCGGAATTCAGTGGGATTTACTCCCAGGCAACGGTGTGTAGGCCTTGGTGACCAGTACGTAGTTCTGTTTCTCTCGCGGATCATGAAACATCTTCCTTGTCTTGGCCACGGTTGTTGTTTTTTTTAATGTTAAAAACATATTAGACTTGCGGAGTGAAAGTATGCCTCTGAACACGTGCAGAGTTACTTTTCCTTGCTATTTCTACTCCAGAGCGCTATGCATAGGTGTAGTCAAGATTTTTGTTAGGGGCCGGACAGGACTTGTTTTTTTTGGGGGGGGGCAGAACCGACGTGATTGGCCAGTTAAGTATTCCTATTGTTTTGTTTGATGGGGGGAGCAGCTGCCCCCCCTGCTCCCCTTAGCTATGCCCATGCGGCGGTGTAACGTGAATAACTCAGGCTAGAACACTTCCCTGTCCTGTAATAGCTCATGTTTCTCAAAGGTATGGAGCGGGGCGGAGCCACAGTCCGGAGCGTTTTCCCGCTTAGGTCCAATGTTGTCGCGTTATTGGGCAGCAGCAGAGGAAGACGCACCATTGCTGCTGCCGCTGCTGCTGCACGCCTAGCTCAGCCCGCTCCATCAGTGCAGCAAGGTGAGGTGTTGAGTGGCCTTGTAAGTGGTGAAAACTAACTACCAGGTGAAACGAATACACCAGAGTGTACTTCTGGTCCGTTTTCTTAAGTGGTGGGAGTTAACACTGCTACCTGGACTTGTGACATTTTTATTAATTCACCCCCCCCCTCAGGTAAGTGTTTTAGGGTGGGATGTTGGAGGAGACAGACTACTAGAAAAGAATCACTTTAAAGCCCCTATGCTGTTAGTAGTTTGCAAGTACCTGCCGCTAGTTTGTCAGCCCTCAGACAATGTGGGCTCCTCTTAAAGGGAGGTTTTTACAGCAATGGCTTACTACAAGCAAGGATTTTAGGGGAAAGGGGTTGGGGTTTGCTCTGGTGCTCCTCCCTCCCTCCCTTATCCCAATCACAGGAGTACACAATCTAAAAATACTTGCTTTCATTGAAGGAATTTTCAAGTAAAGCAAACAGACTTCTCTGTGGGAACATTACTAGGCTCTTTCTTTCTGGCTTATGATATTGAGAGGGCACGGGTGGAGATTTTCCATAGTATGAGAGTACCAAGCTTGTTAAGGTTGCATTGGTTGCAGAAAAAGATTGAACCAAGACCTTGCTCTTGTCCTGGTTGCATAAATTTTATTAAATGCTTTCTTACATACATGTGATTAAATGGCAAGTTACGGAGGTTTGAGAAAATAAGGCAGTTAAATGTACTGCATTTATTGGTTACAGCCTCCAAAATCAAAACTGCGAAAGCAAGTCCTGTTCCTTTGACCTGTGTAGGAACTCTATTGCTGGTTGCATATATCTTTCCCCCTAAAACCTAATGACTGCTTAAGGGAGTAGATTTTGTAGTTATGCAAAGCTCCCATTACAGTGTCTGTACAAGGAGCCACAAACTATTTGTTTTTTAGACAAGTCATACCATAGGCATTAATCCTTAAATGTTATCTTCTCTTTATAGGTTGACTGAGAAGCTGTGAAAGTTGGATCCAGAGCTTTGACACACTAGAAATACCACGTTTTCATGCAAAGCAAAATGTGGACAACCCCCCCCCCCCCAATTTATTAAAAACAGGCATGTCCAACAGGTAGATCATGACCTACAGGTAGATCATTGGACGTCTGTGGTAGATCACTGGTAGCTCAGTGGCTCCCCCCAAAGAAGCTCAACAAGTTTGAACCCCAAAGAAATGGGCTTTCCTCATCCCTCAAAAAAGCTCAACAACTTTGACCTGAACCACCCAAAAGAGGGTAGATCACCGCCAGTCTTTAACTCTTGTGAGTAGATCACGGTCTCTTGGGAGTTGGTCACCCCTGATTTAAAATATAGATGCTCTGCCAATGGAACTATGTGCAAAACTTTGAGGGTGAAACTAGACCATGTGAATCCACTTGTGTTTCCCATAAATGCTTTTAAGCAGCATGACTACTTAGAAATAATTTTATTCTCCTGCCTTCTTTTTTAGCTACCTTGGATATGTGATAATGGTGGGCTAGAAAAATTGAAGATTTGTATTTTCATTTTTGTTCTGCTCATGCCTATGGCAATTACACAGGTGTACATGTTACCTTGTTTTGAGAACCATTCCCAAATTTCACAATGAAAGTTAGTCCAACACCCTCTTACTGAAAAGCTATTATAATCTTATCTACTTTAAGGTTGAGGATTGTTGGGAAGTTTGGGTGCAGTTAAGCAGAAGAGGGGTCCTGCATGGGTTAAGACAGTTAGGTACCTCCAGATTTCCAGACTATCCCTATACCTTTAACCTGTAACTCTTTTACTCTGCCAGGCATCATGATATTAGAATGATATTGTGAGATTACACTTCTCTCTGCCCTGAAGTTAAGAGGTCATTCTGGAACTACCCTCCAAGAGATCAAAGGAGTCAACATGGCTTTGTTCTACTGTAGACTAGTTGGGTAGAAAAATATTCCTAGTTCTAGTCTAAGTATGTATTTCCTACAATAAACTACTTGGTTACTTTTTTTACAAACAAGCATCTCTGTGTGTGATTGCAAGTTAAAAGTCTCTCTAACCAGGATTCACTCTTTTGAACACTGCCTTTGCATACTAAAAGGGTTTCAGTAGGTAATTGGAACCAAATACCAAGATTTTGCTTGGTAACCGAATGCAACTTCATCAGTGAACAATTTAAAATGAATCGCTGTGTATACTTGCATAAAAACCAGGTAGCTGCTGTAATAGGATGATGGCACTAAGAGTTAAAAAGTCCATCCTCATGTGACTCAAATGTTAAACATAAGTTGCAGTCCCCTCTAACAGTAAGTATCCTGATTATTTCAATAATTATGGACTGTGTTGTATCCAAGAGGGAGGGGAAGATGCAGTACAAATTTTAAGTAGTAGCACTGCAGTTTTTCATATTGGCCCAAATCAGTTTCAAAATCACACCACGGCAACGATTTTGACTCAGCAATACATTGTTGCTCATGTGAGGGATAGCCAGGCAGCTGATTTCAAGGCACCGCCAACATTGCATGATCTCAGCCAGTGATCTGAGTTCAGAGAAAACAGGGCAGCTGCCATCACTGCTGATCTAAGCTGATCGGGAGGCATGGCCATTGCTGAGGCACCGTGGCACTACCTTCCCCTGGCACTGAGGAGGCGGAGGTGTTTTTCTCAGTCAACAGGAAAGCAGCAGCCAGTGGACAAACATCTTTGCTACGGAGGGACGGACTGTGGCTTGAGGCACCCCCATCCCCTCCCACTCAAACCATGTGGTGGAGGTCACTTTCCCCTCCCCATCCCTACACCTGATCTCCAATTTTAGACATCATGATATGTATATCACAGGGGTCAGCAACCTTTTTCAGCTGTGGGCAGTCTACCATCCCTCAGACTATGTGGTGGGCTGGACTATATTTTGAAAAATAAATAAAAAATAAACAAATTCTTATGCCCCACAAATAACCCAGAGATGCATTTTAAATAAAAGGACACATTCTACTCATGTAAAAACGATTCCTGGACCGTCTGTGGGCCGGATTGAGAAGGCGATTGGGCCGCATCTGGCCCACAAGCCTTAGGTTGCCTACCCCTGATATATTGAAATACTGTGATGTTTAGCTGTTGATATATCACGATGTTGAAAACCAGACATTGCTCAGCTCTATTAAGTAGTTAAAGGTAAAGGGACCCCTGACCATTAGGTCCAGTCGTGGTTGACTCTGGGGTTGCGGCGCCCATCTCGCTTTATTGGTCGAGGGAGCCGGCGTACAGCTTCCGGGTCATGTGGCCAGCATAACGAAGCTGCTTCTGGCGAACCAGAGCAGCACACAGAAACGCCGTTTACCTTCCCGCTGGAGCAGTACCTATTTATCTACTTGCACTTTGATGTGCTTTCGAACTGCTAGGTTGGCAGCAGGGACCGAGCAACGGGAGCTCACCCCATCGTGGGGATTCGAACCGGCGACCTTCTGATCAAGTTCTAGGCTCTGTGGTTTAACCCACAGCACCACCCAGCAGAATTTGGGAAGCTGATTATGGGTACAATGGGAGTGAGTCCAAGTGAATTCAGTGGGACTTACTCCTGCTCAGACACTGTTAGTATTGCAGCCCAAGACATTTCTGATCAGTTAACCTGATAACTGCAATCCTTGTCAGTCTAAACTGGTTTTCTAAGGGACAGACTGAAACATTAAGGATTAAGGCTTAGTCTCAGAACGCCCCCCCCCAGCTGTAGTTTAAAGTCACTGAATCTCATATTTTTAAAGTCACTGGAGTCCAGAATAGCAGAGGGGAGAGCCTTCCATGGAGTAGTCAGTTTAATCGCTTTAGCATCTCATCTTTAAGTAATAAATTATAACTGGTTAAGTTATGCTATGGTAAGGTATACACCTCTTCAGCTAATTGCCAGTTTGAATGGCTCTTGGAAATCAGATTGCTATACCCAGAAATACAAGAGATTTTTAAAAATGAAGTTTAACTGCTTTTTGCCTAGCACCTTCATGAATTTAAGTTTTACACCACAAATGTTGAAAGCACTGTTTTATTAACATTCAATAAATAAGTGTTCAACCTCCGCCCTGAAACAAAAGAAAACCAAGATTCCTGGCCTAAACTCCATTGCCAGCAATGGATACAGAACAGGCCCAACAGGTTAATAAATAATGCTTGTCTGCCGAGATTCGAAGCCACTCCACTGATTTCAAAATGGCCTATTTCAGAGTGGCTTGAAGACTTACATAGTAATCAGATAGCAGTTTATATTTTAGGACCAATTTACACTTTAAGAATAATTGTAGTACAGAACTCTTGGAATGCAGGTGGAAAAAATGCATGATTGAATATAGTTTTCTTGGAACCCAATGCACACTGAAAAATTAGGCTAGAATTGTATGCTAACCTTTCAAGGAGAATTCTTGAGTCCAGCCAGGAAATCTGCAATCAGTCACAATCCTCCCATATAAATTCTGTAGTAACAATTCTTAAAAGTGTATTACAGCTTTGAATATCACGGCAGTTTCTGAACATGCTACCTCAAGACTACAACAAGATTAATACTTAACCCTCAATAATGTCCTTCACAGAAGAAAATAAGGTTGTTAGAAAATCTTGGTTAATTTCATATAATAGTGAAGTGGTGAAGCATATCAATAATGCTCCCTCTTTTGCTACAAAAATTCTCAAAGGACTTTAACCATATACACAAGGCATTTTTTTTTTTTTTTGCATCAGTTCACACATTTCTATGAGATCCATGAAGAGTCCAAGAATAGATTAATGAATATATCAATTCACTGACTAGGTGGGTTAAAATGTCTTCCCTCATAAATTACCCACAAGTTCTGAAAGTTTAATATCAAAATCCATTCAACCAAGTCCTGGGCCAGTCACACGTTTTGTATTTTAAAGAAAAATGAAAACATATAAACCAACCATGTATTGCAGATAACTAGCCAATACAGCAGTCTAAGAAATATACAAATAATCCAACTTCCATTTTAGCATAAAATAAAAATCTATTTAACCAAGGTAACATTAAATGCTGAATGTCACTCTGCAGTTTCTCTAACCCAAGTCAGATCCTTTGGTGCATTTTTCTGTGTTTTAGGCTCCTGAAATTTTTCTGCAAATCTCTCTCTTGCTTTTTCCCAGTTCCTTCTGTTCTTGGTGCTGATGATCTGAACCTCTTCTGCAGATGTAGGAGTAGCTGAACCTAAGCCTGCATGCTTTCTGTGCAGCTGAAGTTTGATCTGCCAGACAATGAATTCTTATAAGCATAAATTCAACAAATAATATGCATTCAATAACTTTTAATATCTTGAAAACCTGGAGAGAAGCACATAATGAGGAAACCTGAAAACTATGTTCTCATGCTAAAGCCACACATCTGTGTATGTGTGATGCAACTGACACTTTCAGCAAAGCTTACCCCAAAAAATAAAAACAGAACATTATATAAAAAATAAGTCTAAACCTAAAAGAACAGTGGGATTAACAGGTAACAATATCAGTCACACTATTTTATTTTACTTCCAAATGCCCACTTATACAACAATTTTATTGACTGAAACAGCCGGTGACTTTTCTTGTACACAAATTGTAGTACCTTCAAATCTCAAAAGTATGTTTTTATTCAGGATAGTCATGAAAGAGTAGAAGAGGTCCAATAAATTATCTAGCTGAAGGTACACTTCACAAGCCAGAATATATACAGTGGTACCTCGGGTTAAGTACTTAATTCGTTCCGAAGGTCCGTTCTTAACCTGAAACTGTTCTTAATCTGAAGCACCACATTAGCTAATGGGGCCTCCTGCTGCTGCTGTGCCGCCAGACCATGATTTCTGTTCTCATCCTGAAGCAAAGTTCTTAACCTGAAGCACTATTTCTGGGTTAGCAGAGTCTGTAACCTGAAGCGTATGTAACCTGAAGCGTCTGTAACCTGAAGCCTATGTAACCTGAGGTACCACTGTACCTGCACCATAGTGACAGGTACTGGGAGGAATTCCAATATTTTCTGAGTGGAATGGCTCCAAGAACTTAAGAGTCTTGCTGATCAGACCAGAGGCCTGTCAGTCCAGCATTCTGCTCTTACAATGACCAGCCAGATGCCTAAGGGAAGTCCACAAGATTGACCGGAAATAGCATGAAAGCAATGATAGTTTGTGGCGTGTGTGTGTGTGTGTGTGTGTGTGTACACACACACTAGAGGAAATTCCCCACCAGTGAACTCAAACTTCCCCACAAGTAAAGTGCCCTTTGCAGTTCACTCAGCTTCTTTCTTTAATATAATGATATGGGTTCTTTTGATGAAATATCAATTGCACATTTGAATGACTATCATAGAATAGGACATAGATAGAAAAAGTGTCTGTAAAACTTCCCTCATATCCAAGCTTTCCCATTGTTGGGTGTTTGTGTGTTGCCTACCTCCACTCAAGCCTGTTTCCTAAAACAAACAGTAGCAGCAACCCTCCTCCCCTCTCATCTAGCACAATTTGCAAGGAAAAAAATCTACTTCCTGTTTGAGCTCAGCTGAACTGAGTGAAGTGGTTCGCTGAAACAAGGCCAAATCACAAGACACATCTGAAATAGTAACTGATGACCCCCCATTTTACTACAATATGTATCTATCATTCATTGTGCATTAATAAAATAGGTTCAATAATCAAAACATACATCCCAGAAAACAAAATAAAAACCCATCAAAAACTACTAAAAGTAAGCAACCTCAGAAGTCCCACAAAGTTCAATGACACTTCAAATTGTGCATAGGATTGCAGTGTGAGTCTACTCCACAGCACAATCCTATTAAACAAGTATCATTCGTTTCAACAGGGTTTACTTCCAAGGAAGTGAAAATAGGATAGCAGCTTTAGTCTAAGCTTTGCGCAATTTATACATTGAAGTAGACCTACCGGATCCTTCATTCCGCCACCACTCTTTCCGAGCCCATCTCCTTTCTTCCATCCCATCTTCTCCAACATTTTGTGACCTTTGTTGCTATCACTAATTTCACTTTAAAAAAAAAAAAAGGACTTTTACATGGCAAGGAACTATTTACTTTTTTACACTTTGAGAGAAAACTGTTTTTCTTACAGCCAAAATAAGAGACGATACAGTGGCCTTACTACAAATTGTCATTTTTGAAACGGTTCAGTGAAATCTGCTTATCCATAGTTTATATCAGGAGCTAAATATGTTTCTGCATGGTAGACTATTTACTAACAATATAATACTAGCAAACTCATACCTGGCATTTGCTCAAGAGTGCGAAGAAACCAAAAAATCAGCGCCATTTTGAAATTGGAGGCCAAGATCAATGCAGTTTTTAAAAGGTCCAGTTCACTATCTTGATTCAAATGGCATCCAATTGTATCCATACACAGACAAGAACCTGCTCTTTGATCTCAGAAACCATAATGCAAAACTGTCACTATACTCATTTTAGTGTCTGCTAAAAACATGCTTATTTAGACAAGCCTACTCAGATGCATAGAAATTTGATGTAATTTTAAAATAGGGTTGTTATTTTTTCTTAATTTTGTTCTATCTTTTTGTAAACCACTTTGAGGCTTTTTTTTACAATCAAGTTGTGTATATTTTTAAGTCAGTAAATAAATATTGATTAAAATTATTTTAAGAGGTGTTCAAATGCACAGTGAATAGATAAACAACTTTCAAAAAAAGATAGTAAATGATATGTGGTTTAGAGAACTGGAAGTAAGCCATGTGAATAACTGCACTGCATGTGTGATAGGTTAACGCATTTCTAGAGATATATATACTCGCAGAAAACCAACCAGCAACTTACACATGTACAGAGGCTGGAGCATCATCTCTGTGAAAGTTTCCTTCACTTCCAACTGTCTCACGGCGTTTTCCTGCTCTGTCTTTGTAGTTTGGGTTTTTTATAACTTTTTCATTTTCATATTCTGTATTCTTTAAAAAAACAACAACCAATCAACCCCATGTTTGGAAACTTATTTGTTTCCAAACAATACATTTAACAATAAGGCACAGGCAATGGGAAAAACAACTCATACACATTTTAGGTGCATATTAAATACACTCAATTCCCAGCGTATTATACTGTAGAGTTTGATGTAATTCTAGAAATATTCCATAGATTCCTTTAAAACCTTGCAGTATAGAAAAGGTGCTGATACGTGCAGTAAAAATGATTGGGACTTGAAACATCTTCCCTACAAGGTGAAATGACTAAGGGCTTCTTAACTGAGTGGGAAAAATGACAGCTAAGGGGGCAGGGGAACATGGTAGTGTTTTACAATATATATATTGAAAGTGAATTGAGTTTTTCTTCCCCTTCCCAAATACTAGCAATCAGGCCATCCCATGACATGACAAAAAACCCAGAACTATTTCACATAATGCACAATTTATTTTTCTAATTTGTTGTCACAAACTGGAGCAATGGCTACTAGCTTAAATGTTGAATTTAGTTGATTGCAATGAGTTTTGTTTGTGTGTGAGGGGGTAGTTATTCTTAAGTGTGCACATGAAGGACTGCTTTGAAATGCAGCTGTATGTTAGCAACGACAGTTTGGAAAGACCCTGCTTGCAATCTAGAAGATTGAGTTGTCTTCTCTTTGACAGTGTCGTCCCTGGTACAACTGCTGTAAAATTACCCTGAATACACAGGCTCAATGAATTCTACTCTTGTGTTTCATATGACAATTCATTCCCATCTAACCAACACTTGTAACTTCTACAACTAAGAATATGATGCAGAATACAGTACAAATATTTTTAAAAAACCTGTATGTCCCCAAATCCAGTAATTTATCAGACAACTTTTGTTAAAAAGGAACTTACCTGCAAGCCATACTTAACACGAATTTGTTTTAATTCTTTTCTTCTAACCAATTCCTTCTCTTCTTTTGTCAGAACAGTGCAAACTGAAAGAGTACAAGAAGATGATTCAACTAAGTCAGCAGAGACCCATTGGCAGATGGGAATTCAACTAGAGGAATTTTTGTGTTATGCTAAGGCTAGTGTGCGAATTTACTTGTAGGCACAACAGCACTTTCAATATATCTTATTGGCCATTTGAATTCAACTTCTAGGCATACCATGGATTCCCTATTATCTAAATTGGATGAGGAACCTTTCTAAATCTGAGGGCCATGTTCACTCACAGGTAACCTTCCAGGGGCTGTGCACTATTGGTGGATGTGGCCACACACACACGGCTCTCCAGCCTTCCTCCAGGCAAGCAAAGGGTATTATAAACAGTTCAAAAATATATTCCAACTTGGTAAGTTTGCACACGAGTGCAGAGCAGGGCCAGTGAGAGATAGGGAGGCCATCTATTTAGCTTCTGAACCTAAAGCTCCCCACCTCGATCTAAATAATGGATTATCTTCTTCAGCTTTGGGGGTTTGCAGTAAGTTTCATGTCAAACTGCCAGTCCCTACACTGCATATTGGGAGGTAGGGCACAGTTGATATACAGCTGTAAGAGTACTACACTGAAGGTTGTCTGGTATCCTCATTCAGTACTGAGAAGTGTATAAGCCAGTGATTAGTGCTTCCCTTCAAGCTTGCCTTTTCAGGACTAAGTACCTCTCTCCTCCCAGCACAGGAACATAGGAAGCTGTCTTATACAGAGCCAGTCGACTAGTTCATCTAGCTCAGCACTGTCTACACTGACTGGCGGTGGCTACCCATGGCTTCAGATGGGACATTCAAAGCTATACTTGAAGATGCTGAGGATTGAACCTGGACCATACGAATCCAAAGTAGGTGCTCTACTGCTGATCTATGGTCCTGCAAGCACCATGAGATGAAGTTCTCTCATTGCCCTTGGGGCGCCAGGAGCAAACTGCAGCTCTTTAATCGTTCCCAGCTGACCTTCACTTCTTTCAGCTGAAATGGGAGTTGCAGAAAAGTAGGATGGGGCTGAATGCTGCCCAGGTAGCTAACCCTTACCTAACCATTCTGAGCATCCAATTGGAAGATGGTGAGCTAAAACAAAAGATGAAATTATGAAGTCTGGAAACTTTCGCATCTTAGATTTAGTTTGCTTAATGGAGGCAAGACCACCTTTAGGCTGAAGGCAAATTTATTTTAAAAATGCTTCAGTAGTGTAAAAATAACAAAAACGTGTAGCCTTTTTCCAAGTTAAGTCATTTGTTTATCTACTTCAACTTGGGATCAATCTTTTCCCTGGAAATTGACAGTGCATAAAAAAACAAAACAAAACAAAACAAAACAAAACAAAACCCTCAAGCCATTTTTATCACTTACTTGAAGATGCACTTTTCTTATCAAGGCGAAGATGGGCTCTGACTTGCCCTGGTTCACATCCATCGCAGGTTTCACTCCCAGGGTGTATGTGAAAGGATAAAACCGTTTCCCCAATTTTCACTTCATCACCATGTTCCAGAACATGAGGTTCACTCTTTGTTTTAGGCTATAAGGAAAAAAAAAGGGGAAAGCTAGACTGCAGATAAGTGCTGATAAAAGGTTTCTGTACTGCTGCTTCAGAGAAAGATCAAGGGGATCACAAAGTGTGTACAAGCAGTAGCAGCATTATGGGGTGGGGGTGGGAAGGGAAGGGAAGGGCAGAAAGGATAAAAAGGGGAGTGGCAATTTCTAGTGATGGGTAAAGGGTAGACCAGGCAGCAGCACCTAATGGTTATGCTTACCTGTAAAATTTGATTTCCGTTAACCACAGTACCATTCTGACTGCCTTGATCCACAAGAACGTAACTTTGCAATTCGTTATCAAAGTATACTTCTGCATGAAACTGTTAAAAAATAAAGTGTTTTAATACAGAGCACATTTCACTAACACAGCATTAGGTTTAAAATGAAGTAACTGACAAGTTAAGATCTCTTTTTAAAGTCCTTAAAGAGTTAATTACCTTACTAACTCCAACCTCTGGAATCTGCAGTGTATGTTCCATATCTTTTTCTCTGTAAACAGAAGCAACAGTTACAAAGCCCACAAGGAGAAGTACTGTGAAAAGACGCCTTAAGGACTCAACTGTGCAATCTCATGCTATAACACTGAGCAGCACTCTGGCAGGACCTACAATCTATGCTTGCATACGGCTCTCCTTTTAAATTATATTTTACAGTCCAGTACCCCAAGCAGTGCTGGGTGGCTGGGTCTAGCCATCATTATAGTTTCTCACTGGAGGTATGCTACATGGGTGGCATTTTAAGAAATTAAAACAGCAGCTAGACTCAGCTAACCAGCGCTGCTTGTAAAGCTCTTCAGACCAAAATGCTAGACTACAAAAACTACAAATTTCTCTTAGTCATGCCGTCTTCAAACCAATTTAAATATGTAGTGAATATGGACTTTAGTGGTAGTTTTACCACTGAATGATCTAGTTCAGATATATTAAAATACTATTTATTGTACTGCACTAATTCCCAATACACAGTATTTTGCCTTTGGCAATACACAAAGTTCAACAGAATTCAATCACCATCCTAGTTTCTTATAGTGAACTGCCATGGCATCTATCCCTGGCATGCTACTATTCTAGGAGTCAAAGAGTATGATGAATTGATTTAAACAGAAAAATCGTGCTGTCTGATTGTAAGCCACTCAATTCAATCTGGTTCAATAGAATTGGCAATCTTATCAGCTAACATAAGCATGGATTTCTTTTGCATATTTTGTATTACCTTCCAATTGTGGCAGGTTTGACAGCTGTGATGATATACAGAGATCCCATTTGCAGTACTGGTGATCTAATCACAATCACTCTAATACAAGGGGGCCAAATCTTGTCTCCGCCTAAATCAATAAAAAATAAGCATCAGACAAATCAATGTCATATTTCCCCAATCACCCTTGATTTTCAAAAGTAGGGTTATGACTGTAGGAACAGCCTGTTGGATCAGACTAATGCCCCACAGCATCTTATTCTCACAGTGGCCAACCACATGCATATGAGAAGCACTCTCCTGTCCTGCAGTTTCCAGCATCTGTTATTCAGAAGTGTGCTGCCTTTAAACATGGAGGCAGAAATAGCCAGCCTTGTGGCTAGTAACCATTGAGTTCAGCCAGTACATCAGTTAAACCAAAAAAGGGTTAATGTATCAAAACACTGTAAAAATTAACTGTACAAGCACATCTAGTAGAAAAACTTTTGACTAGCATATTTTCCCACAGTTGGCCTTTTAAGAGCCCATAGAAATCAACAGCCTGGTTATTCTGTTGTGCCAGGAAGTTTATCTTGGTAATAGACATTTAAATTAAAAAGTAGGCAGCATCAGGATAGTTACAATTATTTTTGCTAGCAGCCAAGGCCAACAGACAGAACTCCCACTTCTTCTTAGAGTAGAAAGAAGGCTAGTGCCAAATTTCCTAACTGATGCAATGACCATGTGCTGAATTAGTTGAAAGGGGCACTGAAGATAAGTGTTGCCACGAACGAGACAGAGCTTTTGCAGCAACAGAGGAAGAAGACACTGGGGCTGTTCACAGAATCTGGATATTTAGCCAACTTGAATACTAAACTACATGACAGCTACTCCAGATGTGAACAGGCTCTAAGGTGAAGAGAAAGGTCCTACTACTTGCCACTGTGGGAAGCACAAGGACAAACTAATAACAAGTGCTTGCCAAGTGGTATTCAATGATACCAACAAAAGAACGAAGGGCGCCTAGACTCCTATATACAGGGGACACTGTATTGCTCCCAGTATCTGGAATATTCCTAGACCAAAAAGTACAAAACTTTCTCAACATCAAACTATGAAAATAAAATATTGATTAGTCGAGGGGGGTGTCTGTTTCAGAAGCAATGCCATATAAACAGCTTCTTAACCAACCAGCTATGCAGGTGTACATTTTTATACACACCACGAATAAGAGTAAGCATCTGAGTAAGCATCTGAAGAAAAACACTAATTTCTGAACATAACATTAGTGTCCCTCCACTTTACACATACAATGTTTTCAAGTAAGAAGTCTAAGTAGATCCATGTAAGCAGCAACGTCATGAAGTATCTTCATCTGACAGCTTTTATAGTGATAAGATACAGCTTTTACAGTTATCCATACTTAGTTGCAACATCTGAAGACTAGAAACGGAGAGATCAAGACAACTTTTGCCATTTTGCTGAAGATCTATAGCATTCAAACTTGTAGGTTTCAATTTTTGATATTATCCATTTTTGCTTGTTCCCCAAACTATAAATATTTAAGGATACTTTGTAAAAACCCAGGATTCACCTTCACTGTCAGTGTCTTCTGAATTTACAGTTTCTTCACTTGTTACTTCATCTTCACTGGTATAGTCCTCCTCTTCAGAGTCTGTAATTTCCCCTTCTTCAGGCTCACTCTCTGTCTCTGTTTTACTGTCCTCTATCACAGCAGTACATTGTGTGTTCTCAAAACGTAAATTGGCGCCAGTTGTGGTAATTGATTCTTTGGCTGACAGGCTGTTTCTTGTATCAGTGTCCACCTTAGCCTTTTTCAGATTTGGACCTTTTTCTTCTTCTGGAGAACTTAGCTCATTGGTGGTAAAAAGGCAATTCAGATTGCTGGATGATTTCTGCTCATCTGTTTTCAAGTCCTGAAGAAGATTGAATGAAAATCAAACTTGAGGAATGATAATAACGTTGTTCTTTTAATGACTGGATTCTTTTAAGGCACAAGATGCAAAATCTGTAAGCAAGCAAGCAAGCAAGCTAGTACTGTAATGGGAAATAGAAAAATCATTTGGTATCTGATCAATTTTAACCATTCTAAGGTATCATGACTAAAGGTCCTCTTCCAATCTTCAAACCCCTTCATTAACTTTTCAGAGTTTCTGTCTTTACTTAAAATAAAAAAGGCAAAGGATGCTATCCATTCTAGACATTCATTTGTGGAGGTTTCTATATTTTTTCCTCTTTCCCCCTTTCCCAGTTAAAAAACCCTGTGTTCCAAACTTCCTTTCTTTGTTCTAAGCTACTTGCTTCAGTGCTCTTGTACTGCACTAGCCAGCAAACCAACCAACTAACTATTACTTTCAGATTGTGACAGGAAACACCGAGGAACAGTAACAATATATTTATCCCAATAGCTGTCCATTCCTTTTCATAGAAGCGAGTGTATGCCTGGCATGGACCTCCAACGTGATGAGCTAGCCAGACAGAAAGCAAGCAGACCAGTTGCTCCTTCAGAATAGTGGATCTGCTGTTGACTTTCCTTGGGCCAGATTTGTTTGGGAGGGAGAACGAGATTGCCAACCTTCTTTTAATTCTTGATCACTGTTCTGTACACAGGCACCTAGCGTTTGAACTAGCTCATTGATATAGGGAAGTTTTTCTCCTTCCCTTCTAATGATGTTCATGAACTATGCAGGCTAGCTCCTCATCTCATAGGGAGATTGTATTTGGGGATCACTTGCTCCTTTCACATGTCTGTACTTTACAAATCCCTAGCCTGGAAAACTAAGTCATACAGTGCTCAAGCCCCCTCAAGGGGGCCAATGATCTAGCTCAGCCCCAGACATCATGGCATTACACTAGTGTAAATATTTAGGATAAAAGCATTTCACTTTCACACACCAACATTTGCAGATTATTTAAACCAATTTTTTTCTTATTCAAAATTAGAAAAAGTACTATACAAGTGTGCTAGTATCTGAATCATCCCAGTTTTAAGGTGGGAAATCCACACAACACTTAATACTAAGGTCCTATCACCAATACTCGTCAATATCCTATCAGTAGAAATGTTCCTTTACAGTTCAAACAGTGCTCTATGTACAACTATTTGTACACTCTCATCAACTGCCACACACTGCAACAGAACTGTAAACACAGCTATCAAACGATTACATTTCTGCAATTTTGCAGTATCGATAGGCATATCCAAATAATACACAACACAAACCATCTTTTCACAAAATACTGCATTATTTAAGGCCAGCTACTTAATCAATACATTTTCAGTTTTCTCCCTAAGCCCAACAGTTTGGTGATTATTCCCAAATGTATCAGCATCAATGACCTGATCTGTACTGGGATGAATGCTACCATTCATCCCAGGCATATAAAACAAAAGCCAGTTACTATCTCTCCTCCATAAGCATGAGATGAACTGAACATCTCTTAGGATAATATGTGTCCTCTCCCCCAAACTAACTAAATTAATTTCAATAGCAACAAATGTATGGTTCTACACTTAGGCAGGAAGAACCAGCTGCACAAATATAAGATATGGGGCACCTGGCTTGCCAGTAGTGCACGTGAAAAGGATCTAGGGGTCTTAGTAGACCATAAGCTAAATCTGAGTCCACACTGTGATGCAGCAGCAACCCCCCCCCCCACTAATGCTATTCTAGGCTGCATCAACAGAGTTTAGTGTTCCGATCAAGGGAAGTCCTGTTATATTTTGCCTTTGTCAGAGCACACCTGGAATACCGTGTCCAGTTCTGGCCACCATAATTTAAGAAGGATATTGACAAGCTGGGATATGTGCAGAGGAGGGCAACCAATATGATAAAGGACCTGGAAACCAAGCCTTATGAGAAATGGTTGAGAGAATTTGGTATGTTGAGCCTGGTGAAGAGAAGACTGAGAGGAGATAGGATAGCCATCTTCAAATATCTAAAGGGCTGTCACATGGAGAAAGCTTGTTCTCTCCTGTTTCAGAGGCTAGGACCTGAACCAATGGATTCAAGTTACAAGAAAGGCGATTCCGACTAGTGGAACAGATTTCCATGACAGGTGGTGGTCTGTCCTTCCTTGGATGTTTTTAAACAGTGTTCGGATGGCCATTTGTCATGTATAATCAAGCTGAGAATCATGCCTTGCAGGCGATTGGACTAGATGACCCTTGGGATCCCTTCCAATTCTACAATTCTATGACTCTATTATTCCTTTTTCTTATTTTCCCTTAAGCTTCATTTATTTATTAGATTTCTCTCAACATGTCATTCAAGAAACCCAAATATTTCTCTCTGCTTAACATACAAAAACAAGTAACACTAAAACAAAAAGCACTTCTCATATTCTCAGATAATTAATCTGCCTGCAATATTTCCTGTTATCACAGAAAGGAAAGCAAGCCAAGATTAACAGTGGACTACATGGAAATTAAAAAATGCTTCTTTAAAAAAATTAAACAATTACAAATATTCTTCTTTAACATTCAGACTTGTAGTAGAATAAATACAACTCATGAACTATCAAGCCATTCTCTAAACTTATTACACACAAAATTTCTCTGAAAATGGAAGTTCAATCAGATATTTGAACGCATTTTACAACAAAATATATATATTGTTGAGAATGAACAAATAGTCATACATAAGGATAAATGAAGCTTTCTAGATTCATAGAGCTATGATCCATGTGAGATCTGCTGTGTTAGATGTTTTTGCTGCTGTACTAGGAACAAAATATTTTGGAAAAAACTTATCCAAGTAGTTCTCAGAGATGGACTTGTACAGATTTTTGCTACAAGCAGATGATGGCTAATATGTCCAATACAGTTTGCCATTTGAAAACCCCCAATGCATAATGTGCCTGCCATCCCTGCACTAGCCTATTTTGCTTGCTGCTCCACTTCATCATTCCTGCTGCAAGCACCACAGTCATTTCCCAATTGTAGCAAAATCTGAAGTGAAAGAGAATTTGCAACCCCTGTGGAGTGGCATTTCATTTCGAAATGGTGAATATATAGAGAAAAAGAAGTGCATGTAGCTAGGGAAACAGGAGCATGTAAGCAACTGGGGAAGGTGAACAGTTAAGAGGAGCCTGTGTGAGTGGTAAAGAGGGCCATTCTCCCCACATTATTTCAAGCGAAGTGGACTCATTTAAATCAAAGCGCTTTAAATTATGCAAATTGCCAAGAAAAAGATATAAATTTAAATAAAGATTCCCATTTAAAATGCACATATTTCCTTTAAAAATGCCGAGCAAGCATTCCTTCTATCTTCTGTTTCCCACAGTTAAATGATACTGGTGTGCAACTAAATAAATCTTTATGTAATCTAAAGGAATAATATAAAACCACTGGCCATGTGCTCCACACATCTCTCATACTGTAGAATTATGTCTATTTATAGATAAGGCATGTCTGCATGCAAGGATACTAACGGAGATCACTTACTTGAAGGCTAAGGCTTCCATCCTATGTACCCTTATTTGGAAACAAGTCCCAATGAATGAAGTGAAATTTACATCTGAACCAGCATGTATAAGATGGGCTGCAACAAGTATCAAGAACTTTTCAGTTTTGCCTCTGGGCAAAATAGTCTTTCCTCATCTGTTTAGTTGGTAGAACCAAAAATATTAAGTTTCTTCACTGAAAACACTGCAGAGCTCAGGATGAGATCGTAAGGACTCAGTAGTGCATCTTGGTGAAATAACGGATGGTAATTCCACCTAGATACTGTGATGCCTTGCTAGTTCCTGACTCCAAGAATATAAATACATGACCTGTCTGATGACTGAAGATGTGTTTCCTGCACTTCTCTTATTACGAAGAAATAGAACCCTGCATAAGAGGGCCATAAATCCAATTTTATGAGATTATATGTTTAGATTTATTTCATTTTATACTAGGTTATTTTAATAAACTTACTATACCTGAAACTTAACTTAAAACAAATAAATCATTGATTGTTATTTAGCATGTCTAAGGCAGAAAGAACCCCTATTTAATCACAGCATATGTGTGTAAATTAGAATTGATCTTAAATTATATCTTCATGTAATTAATTGTTTTAATGGTGCTTTAAGATCAACTTTAAACATCGTCAGACTGATGCGTTTGGTATCATAACTCTACCTTCACTAGAAGTTGCCAATCCAGAAGATGAAATCTTCAGATTAGCCATGGTTTCTGTCAACTGATGTACCTAAAGATGAACAGTAGCAAACAGTAAACAATACAGTGCAAAAATGAAGTATGTGTTGAGAGTACTATGGAAATATATTACCTCTGGACAAATTGCTTCCAAATTCTGCATATTTCAATTTCCTTAACACAACAAAAAGATCAAATGCTACCATGTCCTTCTCTCACACATGTATGCATGGAAGATACAAAGCTACAGAAACATGATATACTTTGCAGCCAGGACACTTTCAGTTTTAAGACTTATGCACAGATGCAGAAATTCAGAAGTCTATCCCAACACAAGGCCACAAGGGTGTCCTTGAGGCAGATGTGGTAGCTATCTCCTTACTCAGTGCAACAGCAATGACTGGCAGTATGTGATCCCCGCCTAGGGGACATGTAGAGAACATCAGCAGAGAGGGTGACTTCTTGCATCCTCCAGTACACTGCTGCCTGGAAATTAACTGCTGACTCTCCCCATTTTCTAGACACCTGCTCAAACCCTGGCTTCAGGGTTCAGTAAATCACTGTTTGCATCATTACAGCTAAACCCTTCGCCAACATCACGGCACCAACAGTATCACACAGCCTTCCTGCTTTTCAGCTTGAAGATGGGAAATGAGCTGCAGCTATGGTGTGCTGAAGTTTAACAGTTACCCAATATAGCCCACTGCTCAGTATAAAATGTTGTATCACTTTGGTGAGTGGCAAGTGTTGCAAGTGAAAGGAGTCAAAATATTACCATTGCCATGCGATCTAAGAGATCCACGGATTGGTTTGGCAGCCAATCATTTCCAAGCAGCCAGCTTTAAGGTCTAAATAGAATATTATACTCAGCACCTGCTGCTGACATACATTCCTGTCAAAAAGAGATTCAGGGTATCTCCCCAACAACTGGTATGCTGCCTTTAATTCTGGAGGTAGAATAGAGCCATCATGTGGCTTTTATTGCATGCTGAAGATGCATCTCTTTACCCTGGTCTTTGACAGCTGAGATATATGTCAAAGACCTAACTTTTTAATTCATTCTAAACTCTATTTTTGGTTCTGCATTTTGTATTGGGTTTACGTGGTTTAAAAATTCATCTTTTGTTTTCCTGTAACTCACCCTAGGACTTCATGTCAGTCTGGAAAGCTTAAAAATGCTTATCAACTGGTAGGCAAGGCTAGTCTAGAATAGGCCTGCAGAGGAGTTGAGAAGGACAGTTTTATTTTCCTCTCTTCTGATATTGTTATATGTTCCATTTCTCCCATTCTCCTCCCTCCTCTGAGAAAATGAGCAAACGGCAGTGGATGAAGAAATTCATAGTCACAATAAAATTATCTATCAACTTAATCAGCCTGTACAAGCCTTTTCTCCCCTCACCCACCAACTTCCCTCTTTAACGTATTGAGTAAATGTAAGTACCCTTAACAGCACAATCCAGAAACAAGTCCCACAGAGTTCAGTGAGACTTACACTGAAGTAACTGGGAATAGGTTGGAGAAAGGATCTCAAGTTGACACAGCTTGATTTTGACCAGCCAGCAACTTACAGATCCTGCCTGCTCTCATGCACAATAAAAGAAAGCGAAAAAATAAGAAAAATACATCACTCAGTCATGAGACACAACTAAACTGAAGAGAAGTGTACTTTGCTGCATGGGAACCATTTTCTCATACAGCATCAGAGTACAGTGGTACCTCGCAAGACGACTGCCTCGCAAGACGAAAAACGCGCAAGACGAAAGAGTTTTCCGTTTTTTGAGTCGTTCCGCAAGACGAATTTCCCTATGGGCTTGCTTCGCAAGACGAAACGTCTTGCGCGTTCTTGCGAGTTTGTTTCCTTTTTCTTAAAGCCGCTAAGCCGTTAATAGCCGCTAAGCAGCTAATAGCTGTGCTTCGCAAGACGAAAAAACCGCAAGACGAAGAGACTCGCGGAACGGATTAATTTCGTCTTGCGAGGCACCACTGTAGTTTGCTGGTTTTTTTAATATCGTGTCTGTAGAGGTGAAGACAAGTCACTTCTATCTACAGTTATAGAACCTAACAGCATTGGCAGCTGGATGTACCAAGGGCTGATAGCCATTTATCAATTCAATTTTTCTGTTTAGTTAAGCATGGCTTCCTAGAGTGGCACTTTATCCACTCAGTCTGATTTTCTATTCTCTAAGGCATGTATATTTGGGATGGACACAGTTAACTGGGAATAGGTTAAGCATAGGGAAAGAGGGAGGATTGTTCTGTTTGGCAAGATGAAATATATACACTGATAGAACATTAAACGAAGCACAAAGTTGTATTCCTTCCTAAGAATGTATTAATGACCAATTTTTAGCAATTGTTTTACCAAATTATAATGGATATAGTAACTAATTGCTACAAATTTTATTTCTCACATCATGCATAATCCATTTATATAGTACAAATCAATCCCCATGTAGAAAATAAGAGAATTTTACTGTCATTCTGAGCCATTTAGAATGCATACTGTATAAACTTTTCTCTTAAACATGCTCCATACTTACCTGACCTTAGAAAGATGCTAATTTTGATTAAAATGCATCATCAATCACATTTTTATTTACTAAAATGTAATTTGTTGTGAAGATACCTTAAGCTCATTCGCCCTAGGCCATTCTGCATCTTTCCTCTTCTTTTTGCCTTTCCTGTCTTTGCTATACTGAGCAGTTGCTGTTTCATAAGACTGTAGATCCACTCGTGAATGGAACTGATATCGGCCACTTTCAACATCACAATAGTAATAAATTCCAGTATTTGGATCATAATATAGTTGGTTTTCCTTTAATGAAACAAGAACAGTAAATCACTTAAAATTAAATAAAGCAGGTTGTATACGAACATAGCAAAATCATAAATTAAAATATGGAAAAGCTTAGAAAGGGAACAGTAAATTAGCAGGAACAAAAGCAAATTTAAATAAGCAATGGCTACAAAGGCTTCAGTATATCAACTATATATTCAACTAAATCCTTGCATGGGTAGAACTACTTCCATTTGCACAACATGACTTCTCCCATATCCACACCATTCCCTTATTTGTTCTTCAGGGTTGGGGGAACACTCAGAACAAATTCAGGGGACATGCAGGCAAATAGAGAATAGTCCCATTGTGCAAGTCAAATTTGTTCTGCTCACATAAGGATTTACTTAGCACCATGTCGAATACAACCTTGAGAATTTAACAATCCTATAGATATGCATATCCATTTAAAAGAATGGTAAACTCTGTATTCCAGGCCATCAAGATAATTAAAATATATAGGTAAGCAAGACTATTGAATAACTTCTGGCATGCATAAATTTCTTCTGCTTCAGCTCAACTACAAAACTACCTCCGGCAAAAGGATGGAAGGATGAATTTAAAAACAAGATGAATGTGTTTAAATCACACTGATCCAAGCACAGAAACATGTCTAACTTTAAACAATGCTTCAGTCAACCCAGACTTTGAGAATGAAAAACAATGCATATTTTAAAAATGTGTGAAGGGTAATCTTTAACTACTGTAATTGACTTACAAGGGATTCCAAAATGGACATACCAATACCATCTTATTCATTCATTAATTAGTCTCATATTAGAAGGGCTAGGTATAAATGGCTGTGATTGATTCACTGTGCATAGGTGCAGATCTGCTAATGCATATACAGGGTGGCCCAAAGGTAGGTACACAGAAACAGGTATACAGTTGAATCAGTGAAATTAATCACAACAGATTATATTGGAACATATAACTGACACACAACAAAGTGGCAGTTAAATTTCAGGCTGGCAGTTGGAAATAATAGTGGAGTCAGATAAAAGGATCAGCTTTCTTTACTGATATTGTGAATTTTGACAGTGAACTTGAGTCAAGAACAAAGATAGTGGGCCACCCTGCAAACACGTACAACTGCAGATACCATTTGCCTATGATCAACACATTTTGAATGAGCTGCATCATTCCAAAATATATTGCTCACTGCTTTGTGGAATAGGAGGCATACAATTAGGTGTGTACTGGATTCTAACACACACCAAACCAAGTTGGGATGCCTCAGAAGGATTTTGGAGTTGCACAAGGGGAAGTGGGATTTATACAAAGCTCTGCAAATCAAATCAAATCTAAGCACTTTGTGCTGCCTTGGCAAACCAGACATTAAAAATATGCAGCAGACAAGTGTCTGCTAAGGAAAACACCAGGATTTTTTGGAGCGGGTGGGGTGGGGAAGGCATGGAACAACTTTATAATATCAATATCTACCGGTAGTTTAAGGAAAACTGCAGGATCAGGAGATGGGAGAGCTCCTTTGTGACATACAGGTCTTATTTGTAATCAGAGTGAATGATTTTGGCATTTACATGAACGTTACCTATTACATTAAGAAAAAGCTATTCACAGCCAAGAAAATATTTTTCAGGAGAACAACTATCAACAAATCCATTATTAGTTTAAATTTGTTATTTATATTGAGGAGTATGAGATTATTTTATATGAAGTAAGCAACAAATCAAATATTTACCGAGTTATAATAGAATCCAGTGCTGTGGTCATAATATAATCCGGTGGTTTCATCATAGATAAATCCTGTTTGTGACACAGCAGCCTCTGCAGCAGCCCTCAAGTTTTCTGCTAATGTACCTTCTGTTAATAGAGGCTCTTCTGGTTTCTAAGATTATGAAAGACAACATAAAGAGGATATTTATGTAGCACTTTGAAACACACAGTCTTAATTTTGTTTCTACCCATAGCAACCCTGAGGTACACTGCTATTATATCATCCCACGGATGGGGAATAGAAGCTCAAAATAGTGAACTGCTCAAAAAAAGTCCCTGACTAAGCCAACATCCAATTTCGGCTCTAACACTATCCATTGGAATATACTGGTTTATATAAATAGGTAATCCTACTTAGGTTTTCCCCACATTGTAAATTATAAGGGTAAAAGTCAATCAAATGTGAGTATCATTCCATTTGTTTTAATCATTCCATTTGCACTGTTCTACATGAAAGTTAATGCAGTTAAGGAATCACATTAATAAAGCTAGTTCTTGTACAAAAAGAGTTACTGATTTAACTGAGGTTCTAGTTATAAAGCAGAACAAAGCATACTTTGTATGTATACAGCACTTAATACCACTTAATACCAAGTCATTAAGAAATAAAAATCCAACAATTGAAACTAGATTGGTTGTTTCTGTACACAATCCTCTGCATAAAGATAGTAGCAATCATTTGTGCTGTGGGAAAACCAAGGGAACCAAGTCAAAGGATCTTGAAAAGAAGAGTTTGGATTTGATATCCCGCTTTATCGCTACCCGAAGGAGTCTCAAAGCGGCTAACATTCTCCTTTCCCTTCCTCCCCCACAACAAACACTCTGTGAGGTGAGTGGGGCTGAGAGACTTCAGAGAAGTGTGACTAGCCCAAGGTCACCCAGCAGCTGCATGTGGAGGAGCGGAGACGTGAACCCGGTTCCCCAGATTACGAGTCCACCACTCTTAACCACTACACCACACTGGCTCTTAAGGACAGGGAATGGCTTTGTTCTCTAGTGATAGTACGTATATGAATGAAACCCACTCTAGTTGTTTTAAACCATTTTTAATGCTGTGTTTATATTGCTATGGCTTGCCCTTGGACTTTCTGATGAGGAGTGGGTAATAATTCTAATAATACTACTAGAAAAGTTGAGAAACACTCAGCTCACCTGCATGTTATGAACCACAGCATCCTGTTCTTCAACCTCGCAATGTTCTGTGCCATTAACATCTGGCTGATCACCTAATTGTAACTGATCTGCACAATCAGAGTTTGATCCTTCATTATCATAACTTGGCTGTATTTGTGCTCCATTTAGCTCATGAGGATCAGAACTATTATAATAATAATTATGAAAATAGTAATAGCCTGCAAAAAGTTAGGAAATAAATGTATTAGCAATGCTGTTTTGATTTGATATTGTACAGTACAGTATGTGGAAGTTGGATTTATAACTGTACATCTTATCTATATTTGTCAAGCATGCCAAAAGGATAACAAAACCTTACAATTCATATTATTTTTGTACAACTGCTTAGATATATATATTTTAATATATTAAGTAGTTTATAAATTAAATAATCAAAAATCAAATCAAATATTTACATATGCTTAACTTTGCACTTCTTGCAAGTAATGCTATTGTTACTTTCATCAACAGCTAAATCCCCACAGAAGATTAAGCACCACCACCTTAGGATTTATATAAGCATCTTTGCCTCAAAGGTCATGCAAATAATAATGTTAAGTGTCTAGAAATTCCAAAGTAGATGAGATAATGACGCAAGGCAACCAAGCCTTAAAAAAAAGGGATTTCCATTTAATGTATATAACTAAATAGTACCAAAGCATGTCAGGATTTATTTTTTTTAAGTGTAAAGAATTTGGATTAACACTTCCCCATCTGTTTGGTGACACACAAATGAGACCTACAACTGAGTCAGGAGTTTGCATAAAGGGGATGTTTTTGTATTTGGTGAAGGATGTAAGCTGCCTTAAGTATTTCTTTAGAGACAGAAAAAATATGGGTATAAAATGATCCAAAATAAATCAACCAACCAAGTAATTTATATCTGAAATATAAATGGGAAAAGTTTTAAAATACAAATAGATACACCTGGAATTTACCTCTTTTTAAGGTGGAAAATTCCACCTCTTTTTTTATTTCATTAAAACTCCTTTCACTTTTTTCAAACAATGGGATTAATGCAATGGACAGGAATCATTTATCTGTTAGATTATTTTAACCTAATAAAATGGGTTCAAGACCACAAAAGCTGCATGCCCCTTTAGACTGTTTTTGCTGCAAGAAACTAACACGGCTACCCCTTTGAAAATTATTTTAATTACTGACGTTGCACCATCTGCTATTTACCTTCATGTGACCATTCAGCAGCATCTTCGGTTTGCACTTCTACATTGGATGTTGCCTTCTCATATCTTTCTCCGTCACTTATTTTCTTGAGTTCTTCAATCTACAAAACAGGATAATTATGTTGCTGGTTCAACTTGTAAGTACAAAATGTTGCAAACCGGAGTGCTCCACCTAAGGCCCATGGGCTGGAAGCGGCCCATGAGGGTCACTTAACCGGCCCATGAGCCACCCCCGAACCGAGCTGCCCGCTTGGCGAGTCCCTGCACACTACACTAAACTGGCACAGCACGGCAACTCTCTTTCGCGGCTCTGGAAATTGCTTCTGTGCATGCACATGCCAGAAATCATGCCTAAGCATGTCCACAGCACTGGAAATTGCTTCTGCTCATGCCCAGATGCCAAAAATTGCTTCTGTGCAGGCACGATTTCCGGCATCTGGGCATGCGCAGAAGCAATTTCTGGCACCGTGGACATGTGCAGACGTGATTTCTGGTGTTGCACTGCACTGGCCTGGCCCATGGAGGAGCTCCGCGGGAGTGATCCAGCACATGCCCAGTAAGCCTTGCCAACCCCTGACCTCAGGATTCTAGCCAGCCATGCTCTCCTCCCAGATACTATAAGCAGTTTAGGAAGTTTTCTCCAGGGGTCCTAAAGGCCACCAAGCTTGTTAAATCCTCCTTGGGCTGTGGAGTTGACTCCCCTTTACACACTGCATTTCTGCATACACCATGATCTACAGAATCATGCCGATATCTCCCTCTTGTTTCTCAGTGTCTAGACTCCAATCCTGTTTGCCCTCAACCACCTGCTTGCTCTTAGCGGGAATGACCCATGAATTTCATTAGGATTAGCAGTGTGCCTTAAGAAAAGCCTGCATGATCCATTACTAATCCTAGGCTTTGTGGAACTTCCTTTATCAGTAAAGGGTTGTGAAAAAAATACATATCATGTGAGTAACACAATGAGTTGGAAACCAAGTGAATTATAACATTTACGGTTATCTCTTCTTGCACAAAGCCAGGGAAAGCAGTCGCCAATATTGGAGCATTAACACCATGGGTAGGCAAACTAAGGCCCAGATGCGGCCCAATCGCCTTCTAAATCCGGCCCGCGAACGGTCCGAGAATCAGTGTGTTTTTACATGAGTAGAACATGTCCTTTTATTTAAAATGCATCTCTGGGTTATTTGTGGGGCATAGGAATTTGTTCATTCCCCCTCCCCCAAATATAGTCTGGCCCCCCACAAGGTCTGAGGGACAGTGGCCCACCCCCTGGCTGAAAGAGTTTGTTGACCCCTGATTAACACAGTCAAATACAGTGGTACCTTGGGTTACATACGCTTCAGGTTACAGACTCCACTAACCCAGAAATAGTATCTTGGGTTAAGAACTTTGCTTCAGGATGAGAACAGAAATCGTGCTCTGGCGGAGCGGCAGCAGCAGGAGGCCCAATTAGCTAAAGTGGTGCTTCAGGTTAAGAACAGTTTAATAATAATAAAAAAAGAATGGACCTCTGGAACGAATTAAGTACTTAACCTGAGGTACCACTGTACTTCAAAAGCGGGAGCAGGGAAGGAAACCATGTAAGCTGCTGTGCCTTGGTGAAAGAAAGGAGGAAGTGAGGGATATAGCTATTAATGATAAATTAACATGTGTTGTTATGGTAAACCAGGGAATATGCAGAAGAAATGATTTTGAGGAGATATGGAAGGTGTCTGTAGAATTTGTACTGTAAAAACAGAAAGGGGTCAAACCATCGCAAGAGGTGTTGAAATTTTGGGAGGTTGGATAGTGACCATGGAATGGTCTCAGTGTTGGAGTGCACATTTTTACTCTTATTTATGATTATTACTTTGTAAAAATAAATAAATAAACAGAAAGAAAGAAGAAAGAAATGTAATAAATCAAAGCATCCTGGTGCTTAGGAAGGCCGGCGTTCCTCCTGGTGAGGCTCCTATACCTTCTAACAGGTGAGAGACAAGGAAGTCAGCAGTGAGCCTAAGCGGCCCAGGCTGGAAGCGGAGCAACCGCCTGTCCCCAGAGCAGCAGAGCCCTTGAACCCAAAGGCCGTTGTGGGGCGACCTTATCCCGGAGGTTTCCCCGCCTGGCCCCCGACCCCCTGAGGCGAGAGGGCCGCCCCTACCCGTCTCCGTAACTTGGCGGCGCTGGCCTGGGCTTTGAGGCGCAGCTTCTTCTCCCGCTCCAAGCGGCTCTGGCAGGCGCCCAGCTCCGACTCCAGCGCAGCCACTTTCTCCCGCAGGGTCGCCACCTCGTCGCCTGGCGGTCCCGGGGCTTCGGCCATCCTTCGGCTTCCACGGACCCCAGCCTGGCCGCCGCCTCCTCCTCAACGGCCGAGGCAGGGACGCAAACGCAGCGGCCGAGCGAAGCGAGCCCAGCGACCGTAACGGCTGCTCCTCAGCGCCCGCGACCCGTCGGCGCCCCTCGCAGCCATGGCAGCGGCCGCGCGGACAGGCCCCGCCCCCTTTTGCCCCCACCCCCCTTCGCCCCGCCGCTTTCTTAATGGGAGACCGGCTGAGAAGCGGGGAAAGAGTGGAAAACTTTTTCTTCGGGGCATGCAAGTGACCCGGATCTCGTTTTCATGAAAACAGGAAGTGACGCCAATTGAGCGGGGGGAGGGAGGGAGCGGGAGACATAGATTTAAGAACTGTGTTGGAGGGACGCGCGGACCTGAACTTCCAGTAACGCATTGGAACGCCGCGTATTGAACAGAGTTGCTTTTTTTTTGCTGGAGGGCGGAGTTGTAACAAGGATGAGGCATTACTTTTGGCAGATTGCAGGTGATTTGGTTGGGTGCATAGGCTTTCCCTCGCTTGAGAGCGGGGGAAGGATCCACATTTGAAAAGCTCTGAGTCAAAATGCCCTCTAAAGCACCCTTCCACCATTGGTTTGGCTTGCATGATAGAGGCAGCAGCGGTGGTGCTCTGAGGAGTGCTAAAAGTGCTTTGTGAGTGTTGTGAGTAGTTAAAATGGTGGCTAACCCCAGCTAGCCAGTAGTGGGCTGCAAAAAAATGATTTAAAAGAGACCCCAATCATCAACAGACTTTTTTATTCACACTCCACATTGCTGACATGATTACTCAAGTACTGTAGAATTTTCCAATTTATTTAGTGCATTTTGATACACATTGTGATTCTAATGCATTTTAATAGTTTTTTATGTACTTTACTGACATTCACTTGGTGATATCTTATTGTCATTCTTGTTGGATATCATTTGTGTATGCTTTTCTTTTTTACTTGTGTGTGCATGCACTTTCACACACAGGTACACATTTGTGCGCACACTTTCACACAGGTAAATTTGTACTCCACATTTAAAAGCAAGATATATAAATAAAAATAACCAGAAGGTATATACAGTGGTACCTCAGGTTAAGTACTTAATTCGTTCCGGAGGTCCGTTCGTAACCTGAAACTGTTCTTAACCTGAAGCACCACTTTAGCTAATGGGGCCTCCTGCTGCCGCTGCACCGCCAGAGCATGATTTCTGTTCTCATCCTGAAGCAAAGTTCTTAACCCAAGGTACTATTTCTGGGTTAGCGGAGTCTGTAACCTGAAGCTTATGTAACCCGAGCTACCACTGTATCATAAAAACAGCACAGCTAATTTTTTTGATAAAAAACAACCAGTTTGTTAATGTCCAATTACTGAATATCCTGTGAAGGTACAATGTATCTTTTTGCTCTTCTGGGATATCAGTATTTCCCATAGCATCCAGAAGGTGGTGATGGTGTACTGTTGATAGTAGTGGTGGTCTTTCCAAGGCACACATTGGTGCCTTGCTAAGGCTATTAATTTTTTAGGGAGAATTTATTTCAGATGTTATAAGAGAAAAAAACCTGCTCCTTTTTCCTTATGGGGTATCCAAGAGCCCGTATAGAGTCCTTAAGTATGTTATCTATCGGAAGGAGAAAATAACAGAGGCCAACCAGAGAATCTTGAGAAGCAAGGCAGCTCGTAAGTCTGATCTTTATTACGGTAACTGTTGCAACAGGGTGCTCACAACCACACACAGGAGGCAGGAGGGACCCAGAACAACGTTGTGCGAGCCCTTATATAGACTTTTGAAATTGCTCACCCTGTGGTTCAAGACCACCTCCCCAAAACATCATACATACATCACAGAAGGAGGCAGGCTACAGCAGAAATACCGTACATCATTGGGGGCAGTCTACAACAGAAATCCTGTCTGGCAGGATACTGATAATGGTCACTTGATTGCTTTACCTGGGCAGCCTGGCCATTCCTTTTGAGATGCTAAATACTTAGTCCCTGAATCCAGATCACAGGCTCACCCTATTCATACACAAATACACCCTTAAGACAGGTAAGCAAAAGACAATGGAGAGGCTTTCCCATTTCCTTCCTCCTTGCAGAGAAATAATTTGAGGTCAGTTTGGGAGAGTCAAAATGGTTACAGGATTGCTCCCCTCTACTATTTCAGACACATGGTTTATATACTTATGATTGTGTTTGCCTTCTAAATTTATGAACATACTATATATATATATATATATATAACCTTAGAATTCTTATAACACAGACCAGCAAGAATTCTCTTTTATTTTGGAAATGTGTGTATTAGAAAGAATGAACAAAATGTTGCAGTTCAGCGATCATATGTTTACCTTTAAAAGTACCAATCAAATCAGAGATGAAGTAGCTGCAGCAGCTGCTCCTACCTGCTGCTCCCTTGAGCCTTTCATACTCCCTCTTTCCCTACATGCAGTAGCAAATGAGACCCCACCACGTGAAAGAGAATTGAAAAAAAGGACCTGGGGAAGATCAGGAGCTGCAACAGGTATATAGGCTTTGATTGTTGTGCCTTTATGGCTTTGGACTGCTGTTTTAAATGTTTCAGTATGCATCACTAGGTGTGTGTTTTTTGGTAACTGATCATATTCTGGATTGTGTTTTAAGAATGTTGTTCATACATTGTTACTGTTTTGTAGGCTGCCGTTTAAGAAATAAATAATGAAATCAATTCATATTCTCTGGATTGTAAACTGGAAATCCAAGAAAGAGATTCTGTATCAAAAGAGATTCTGTAATACAAATATTAACCTATTTGAATGAAAGTGTCTTCTATTCTAATTTGTTGGCATCCATCTGTCTTGAGAGACAATAGAGTGCGCCTCCAGAGGGTTTAGGACCAGAGTATTCCTTCCTTCTACTTCCCCAGGTTCATGAACCCCATCTGCCCCTCACCTGCCTCTACAGCATGAGCAGAAACCGCCTTCTTGAACGTTGGACCCAGTATTGGTCTTGTCCACTCAATTTGCTGGAGCCTGTCTTTACATGCTAGGAAAGCCCCTAACTCACTAAGGGTTTGAGACCCATTAGCTCCCCTCACCTGGTTTAGCCAGCCAGTTGAAGCAGTTCCTGGGATGCTGACAGCTTCTAGGAGTCACAGGTGAGAGTTGAGTGTAGGGTGGGGCACTGGTGGAGGAACGGGGGTGCGGAGGGAGCGGACCGCCCCAGGTACCACTATTCTGGTAGGGTGCCATCATGGTGGTCCCCCTGGACACACACTGTGCACCCCCACGTGCGAGGTGCCACGCCCCCAGAATGTGTGCCATGCCCCTGGGATGCACATCATGCACCCCCGGGGTACGCATCACAGTCCCCGGGGTGCGCCAGCCACGCCCCTGCCTGCTCGCCACGCCCAGTAGCAGAGCATGCAGCTTCCCCACTGGGGTGGGGACCAAAGGTGGACAAACTACCCTAGAAGGAGCATGACAGCTCTTGACAGGCACCTTCATACATTCAGCACCTGTTCAAATTCTTATCTGGTACAATCACACGAGACAGCTGCACCACATCAGCTTCTTCACATGTAATGGGCGCTATGATTTAGGTCAGAGCAATAATATTATTAAAATAATACAGAACATTCATCCATGATATAAACTGATGTCCAGGGTCAGAAAAAGAAGATGACAGAGACACCAATGAGCTTAAACCTCTGAATTACCAAATCAGCTTATGGCAATTTTATCTACCTCATTTTTCCTGATCTTTTTTGCAGCCAGTGCATAAGTAGCCAGTTGAGCTAACATTGTTACATGGTGAGCGTTTTCGTGTTCTGAATTCCTTCCTTTGCTTGAGATCACTGGAGACTTATGGCATTTATTTTTTATCTTATCATATATGTTGAAATTGTTTCAGTTTGGTTGTGTACTTTTTAATGTTTCATTTTTTTTTGGTATGTTTGTAATTATGCAATTTTTTCCATTCAACATTGAGCATGGTTTTAACTATGGAAAGCTGGCATAAAAATAAATTATGCATTTATTCATGTAGTTAAGGTCATGATGAGGCATATTTATTGACTGTAGAGCCAGGCTCTTTACATAATGTGCTTGTTAAAGCAGCTTACCCTAAATCACAGTCCTGGGATAATGCATTAGGAGATTACTACTTAAAACATATTTTTGAATGACTATAAATGTCATAAGTGCTGATATGCCACCTCCAGTTGTTCCTTCATAAACACTAAACGTATAGAATTTACCAGGAAATATGAGTCAACTAGAAATTCTAGTTTAATTAACTTGGTGACAATTCATCTCTGAAGACAGCTTGGTAATTTTATTCTTTTCCATTACTTTTCCAGTTAGTTTCATTTATTGTTTTATTTCTCTAATATATAAACAAGATTTCCTATTCTGAAGCTGCTCAAAGCCTAGTGAAAGTGGAAATGAGAATGTTCAATGTTTTTTTCCTTTTATTACCTGCAGATGTGGCTATGGATGCTTAATGGTATGGCAGCTTGAGAGAAGAGCAGAGACAGAAGGACACAGATCTATGCAACCACTTTTAAATTATGGCATTAAGAGACTGAAAGAGTTACAGAGAGTGGCTTTGAGCATGACCTTACCATGCAGGAAGAACCTGCCCAGGTTACGCTTTCTGTACCTGCACGTAACACACAAAACTGCTCTCAGCTGTAAAGGTTTGTATAAAGATAATAGATTTCTTTCATTCATCCTCATGAACATCCGCCATGGCACAGACCATTGTTATTCCTAGTATTGACACCAGAGAGTGGTCCAAGCTACCTATTCAGAAAAAAGCACATAGCACAGCTCTTTCCAGATGCTGGTAGTGGATTCCTCAGATGTCAGGCTTCAGGGAATCAGCTTCCAATCCTCCCCCATGGCAGTAGATGAGCGGAATAAAGGAAAAGGAGTCTTCTTACCAGTTAGAAACTTTAATAAACACAACTAGAGAACAAAGAACACATCTCCTAGAATGGCGGTGCTCCCAATTAAGGACCCCACCCTCTTCTGTCCCTATACATCTATGTCACTTCTACGTCTTATATTAATCTGATCTTGTAACCTCTGTGCTTCTGTTCTGCCACTTTCTGAACTCTCCATGACTTTGGAGAAGGGGCGGATGAATGCTGTCCAGAGACTATGAATCTGTTAACCCTCTTTCTTCTAGTGTTTCTTCTCCTAGCTGTTCCCCATCCAGTATTTCCCAGCTTCTGCCTTCTGAACTATGTCCCTCGGCAAACCACTGTTCCAAATCTATACTGTCTTCCTGCTCTTGGGGAGATTCAGAATCTGGATCAGGAGCAGGGGGAGGCTCCCACCATTCCTCCTCAGTGCAGTCCTCCTCAGCATGGTCCCTGACATCAGAGGACAGGAGAATTCTAGCTGTCTTTCCTGCTCCCTGGCCAAATACGCAAATGTTTTTTTTAATGTGGGGAGGCATTCACATATGATTCCAACTGTATACTGAAATTTGTAGAATGAGCAGATCAAATCCAGCCTAGCCCATGACCCTCCATAAAAGTGATTTTGAACAATAAGTTTTTTAAACAAACACATGAACAAACAAACAAACAAACAAACAAACAAACAGTTATATCATTGGGACAAAAGGTTGTATCCTTATATAGCTGCAACTCACTAAAGCATACACACCCTATAATCAATCTGCATCCCCTGATAAATTAGCTTTTTGCAGAAAGGGCCTCAAGCTGTAATTGATGATAAAAATATTCGTAGTGTGTTCCTTTCTTCTATTATTCCCAGATATGGCATGAGTCAAGTCAGCATGGTGACTCATACTTCAACAAGCTGATGAGGACCTTGCAAAACTCCCAACCTAAGAAACACACCGTATGGCCAGCACCTCATTTTATGGGACCTACATTCTGAGCAAGAATCAGAGAATAGCTCCATCAGGTTAACAAATGAGGGGGATGCTTTTGGCCCAGGGGCAGCCAGTGGATGATACCAACCATAAACTTGACTTTTCCAGGACATATTAGCACTTTTATAACGTTGAATATGGAGGTGGTATATTTCATGTGGGATAGGTATTTCCCCATGCATGCTCACATTTTGCAGCACCCACACAACATTGTTGGCATCAAAATCACAGCCTGTACTTTTTCTCAATTTAATATGGATTTTCCCTTTGCAGGGTAAATACGATAAAGTTAAATGAATAAACTTGTTGTCAACAATCTGTTTGTGGTATCTTAACACCACATTTGCAACATCAAGCTCATGTCTAGAAATGCCGTTATGCAGAATCAGACCAATTGCAATCCACCTCTATTGCATATGTTGAAACAAAACTGAATTTTGGTGTTTTGCTCTATCTCTGAACTTCACTTCTCTACCCCACTGTACGCATGCAGGTATAATCTCTTAATAAATGCTACAGGTGTAACTGTGTTACCAAGAAATGAACTACATATGTGATGGTAAGTCTCCTAAATCTATACTAACTCTCGATTTTTACAATAGCTAGCACATGTTTTTCCAGCAGGAGCATGCATTCATAAAGATAAAAGGTAAAGGACTCTTGAATGGTTAAGTTCAGTCAAAGACAACTATGGGGTGCAGCGCTCATCTCACTTTTCAGGCTGAGGGACCCGGTGTTTGTCCACAGACAGCTTTCCAAGTCATGTGGCCAGTATGACTAAACCGCTTCTGGTGCAATGGGACACGGTGATGAGTGCCAGAGTGCACAGAAACACCATATACCTCTCTGCCGGAGCGGTACCTATTTACTTGCACTTGTATGCTTTCGAACGTCTAGGTTGGCAGATTCATAAAGATGTGCACCCTGCAGGCTGAGTAGTAAATGGTTAATTTTTAATGCATATTCTATGAATAACTTTACTGCTTATCTAATGAAAGTATGTCATAAGTACACAATAGTATAAAAATGCACAGTGTCATTCACTGTCATGTCTATTTCCAAAGTGTTTCTTTATCACTGAATGATTCAGGCATTATAATTCTACAGCAATCACCTATATATATTTCCCCTTATGGTAAAGTTGTCTGAAACAACTGTTAACTGCCTGGGCACTTGTGTACAATGTTCATCTTCCATGCAATTTTTTTCCATCAGCACTATATTCTGGGCCCCGCCTGCTAGTCTTGATCCCATTGTTTTCAGCCATGGTTTGGCTTAGTGTGTGACCTGGACCCAGACTCATGGTTTGTCTCCCACCAAGCAAAACACAAACAGTAAGAGCTCATGCTTTGTCTGGAGGAGTCAAAACACAAGCCTGGGTTGGGATTATATGCCAAGCCATGGTTTGGCTTAGTGTTACATGGGAACCTGCTCTCTGTTTCTTTTTGGAAGATCTGTGTCTTGTTGATGGTCCAGTTACTCTTCAGTTTAACACTATAATGCAGAGATCCTAGATACGATGTTGGGCTGAACCTGAAAACTAGGTCACACCCACACCGTTGATTTAAAGCACTCTTATGCCACTTTAATGGTCATGGAGGAACTTGGGAACTGTAGATATTTAGGGGTGCTGACCTCACAGACCTGTAGGTCTCAACACCTTAACTAACTACAGTTCCCAAGATTCTCTGTGAATTTTAAAATGGTATAAGAATACTTTAAACTTATTTTCCCTTCCCTTCCTCCTCGGCTAGCACCACCTTTTGTCCCTGGTGTTTATATAGCTAATACCACATATGCCACCTCTCACATTTGTTTTTAATGCTACAGTCTTGTTTGCTATGCTGGAGCACATAAAAGACACTCTCTTGCAAACTAGGAACACACATAACCACCTCTAGACCAGGTGTCTAGACTAGGGGTAAACTATTGGTCTACAACACCCATCATCTCTGACTATTGGTCATGCTGGCAGGGACTAATGGGAAATGGTCTAGCAAATGAAGTTTGCTCCCTTGGCTGTAGATCAGAGCTGGCTAACATGTGGGTCATGAGATGTTGTGGATTCCAGTGCCCATCAGCCCCAGCATCATTAGGAATGATGGGAGTTATAGTCCAGAAACATCTGGAGAGCCAAAGTTTAACCATCCATGCTGTAAATGTACCCATATTCAAATATTGAATGTGGAAGTGACTGGGTAGATATTTTTAGTTGCCTTTATTACTGGATATGGCAAGGCTGACGTACTATGTACAGGTGGAGTTGAGAGCAGCTGAAGAAATCCTGGGCGTTATGAAAAGGTATGGACACAAACAGTTTACTTTTAGTGTGTAACAATGATAAGCAGGAAATAGAGATTTATGTTATGAAGACACTATTTGCATATGAGGGGGCTGAGCGGGTTGCATCCTGCAACTTCGGTGGGAGTTAAATGCTGCCATTGTGGGAAAGCTACAATTTCCACCCCTTCAGACATTTAACCCAAGCAAATTTGGGTTACCAAAGACTTTCCCAGTTTCTGAAGGAGTAGTTAGTTTCCAGCTTTACTGGGGCTAAGGCTGCATACACACCAAATTTAAGGCGCATGACTCCCCACAAAGAGGAGTCTTTGTAAATGGTTCACTTTTGGTTCTTGCAGTAAACAAGGTTGAAAACATGTTATTTATAGGCAGTGGATGTTAGACCTTGAACAGTTCCATCAAATTATGTTGCTGTTTTAATAGCAGTAGGAAATCTCTTGGAGAACAGAGCAATTCCTAATAGAGCAAGGTGAGAACTCCCAGATGATTCCTACAGAATCTTGCTGAGTGCTTGTTGCAGCAAGTGATGTTCTCAACCAAACAGGAGTCAGAGCTGCAGCTACAGGGGTGGGGTCGAGGAGGCTGGTTTTTTGCCCCAGGTGAAGCCTCCAGAGGGGCACCACTGAGGCTCCCAGCCTGTGTGTGTATGTATGCAAATACACAGGGGGGGTACCAAACTGGGTCTTTGACCTGGGTGAAATAAAGCCTAGTTTCACCTCCGAGGAGAGCACAGCATTTTGCAGATTTGAACCCATGAAGGGGTCATCATTCTCATTGCAAAGGACTGGAAATGCAGGGTGTGTGTGTGTAAGATTTACTGTGCAATTCTATGTGTGTATACTCAGAAGGGTGCATGAGTCTGAAGCACATATAGGGACTAAAGGACTGATAGGAATTCAAAATGTAATTGCAGGGATGACTAGCTAGCATGCCAGTGGTCAAGGATGGGATCTGCAGTCCAACAACATGGGTGTGTGTGTGTGTGTGTGAAGGAGACAAGTCACCTGTCCCTGTTGTCCTCAGACCTATTCTTCATCTTTCTTTTTGGAAGATCTGTTTGTTAATTGCCTTTCATTTCATCTTCAAGGCAATTTAAAATAATAAAATACATCTAAAGGTCAGTTTAAAGATATATACACTCAAGTCAGAGACCTATATATATATTTTCTCACAGCTGGAAAAGTCAGACAAAAATGCCTACAATTGTTCCCTGAAAATAGCACACCCCGCAAGCATCCCACAAAAAAATGGGGCATCCCATTTTTTCCTCTGGGAGCACAGTGGCCATTTTGGTCACTGCAGGCTCAAGAGATTTCGAACTGTGTTCTCACCCTGAAAAAGTGCTTTTCTCAGGGCTGCGATCTCAGGTGGTGCCCCAAAATGTGAGTTTTTGTGTGCTGTGAGCACAGCCCCCCCCCCCAAAAGTGTGTCTTTTGGGCTCCGTGATCTTGCTTGGGTCACCTGACCTGCGCAGCAGCACAGACAGGAAAACATGTGCCCCAGTTTTGGGACTCAGCATGTTGGAAGACATGAAATAGTGACTGCCTATTGTAACTCAACAGGGATGCTAGCTGTTCCACAAAACAGGGGTAGCCACACTGACAGGCCTGCTCCATATTGCTGTGGAGAGGGCTCCTGGTATTTTATCAGCTTCAGGGAGAGAATATATGTTATCGGGCTTAGAATTATCTGGGACAAGTATATAATTGGGGTAGGGGGAGAGTTTTTAACCTCTTCTATAGAATCCCAGCCTGCACTGCTTATGATGCTTATCTGAAAATAATTGTATGCTGGAACAAGGCATTCCCAGGACCCAATTAAGACTGTGTCACTTGGGAATGGCTGCACTGTCATGGCAACAATATTTTAAAAGACCTTCCCACTGGAGGCCTGTGCCACTAATGTATCTCCGGTCCACAAGCTGCAACTTGTTGAGTTGCTGGGTTGGTTCTGTATCAGAAAAGTGAGGCGGCATTGTGTATTTTTCATGCTTTGGAAAACAGAAATATAATAACAACCAGACTCCGGTGATCTAAGTTTGTTGAGAATATTCCCACAGTCATAAATGGTGGAAAAATAAATAAAGGGAAAATATCATCTGGCAGTGGAAGGAAAAACTTAACAGTTCCTGGTCTGTGCACCACGGAATAATTAAGAGAGTAACTAATACTAGCAGTTATGGCTGCCAGAAAACATGTCCCTAATCTCAATTTAGATGTAATTTAACTGTCTTATCTACTGATACCTTATTCCACAAAGATGCTATTGCTATTTTCCTCTCTTTTGAGGTTTTCTTTGTTCCAGAATTTAGTCTTTTCAACTATGTATAGGCCAAACCTGGTGGAAGCAGAAATACATTTAGCAGTATAAAACAGGAGTAATTTCCTATCTGTGTTATTCTTGAGTTTGATTCAGCAGAGAAACCTTATGTTTCTCCATGGAATTCTGGAAAGAGCCTTGTTAATAAAAGTAATTTAATTAAAGAAGAACTGATTTAGGCTGAAGGCAAAGAGACAAATCAAAATTGCACATTCAAGTTAGATGCCTCTTTTAAACAAAGACTCGGCAATAATGCACTTATCAGTTCCGAGAGCAACTATTGACATCAGTGACCACCGGAAGCGTCATTGTTCCTGTAGGCATCGGGGAGCACTTTCCAATTAAAAAAGTAAATCTCATAAGGAGACTTGGGAATGGGCTTCATTGAAAAAGAAGTGAATGAAGCTACTAGAGATTTGACAACAATAGCCAAAGTGATTTGTAATCATGAAGGGTGGAAGATAACATATAATTTGCCTTGGTAAAAATAGAAGGATGAGTGGAATTCACGCAGATCTTCTCTTATCTTCTACGCAGTGTCCTTTCTCAACTTCCTTCTCAATGGAAAAACAAAACAAAAACCCATAGCAGTCTCAACTCCCACAAGTAAGACTGCAGTTTAAGATTAGTCAGTATTGCCATGGGAAAACTTCTTTCTCAAAGGTATTTTCTCCTTAGTTGTAAAACCTTTTTTTATTAAAAAAAAAACCAATCAAGCTTCTAAGATGAGGAGTGCAGTTTAGGACCCAAATTCTAGATACATTTGCTTATAGACCACAGTGTGAATGGTTCAGATCCACAGTGGTTTTGCGCGCACACACACACACACACACACACACTGCCATCCCATTCTGGAGAATTCCCTGTGGCTTTTCAAAGGGTGGGGAAATGGGGGTAGTGAATTGCAGGAGGCAATAAAACCCAAGAGTACAAGTGGATAATAGCTTGTTTTCTCTTTCCTGGATGCAGGACAAAGGGGTTTTCTTCAATAATATAAATGCCTTCTTGGACAAAAATGCTGCTTAGGCAACTCCTGATTTACCATCAATGCCTAGCATTATATTAAATTACTCAATATTGTTTAAAAAAAAGAGAAAAAGGGAGGGAGTTTGGTGGGGATCTGAAGTGGCACCATGCCTTTTGTCATACTGTAAATGTCAATTTAGTTTGAAATAGCGGCAGATAATGAAAGCTGTTCATTTTTTAGTGACTCACGTGTAATATACTGCATATCCTTTTATAGGAAATGATGTGCGAACAAAATCCATAGCTTCTATGATTAGTAGTTGCTGATCTTCAGAGATAAGTAGCCAAGACAAAGTGGGAAAGGGGGGGAAAGTGCGTCATTTTCTCAGCAAGAAAATCTCCTCAGATAGCAGAAGGATGAGGCTGTAAATAAAAATGATTGTAATGAATCATTTCATTGAAGTGCACTCTAACTTATGTTGAAAGGAGAGCCCAGAGGGCATAAGAGGTTGTAGCTGAATTCAAGAAGGGGAAAAAGACATGGGGGTGGGGGAGATGGGGACAGTAAGGTGGACCTTTCTATTGTGGCCTATTTTAGGACTCATTCTATTTTCTCAACTGTAAAATATTCTAACTGGTTTTAATACTCTATTTTAAAATTGTACCCTGCCCTGGGGCCTCATTGTGAAGGGCAGGTAAGAAATCTAAATAATAATTGCAGTAATAATAATATTTTATCTAAACAAGCCTAGACAGAAGTAGAGATAGAAACCTGGAAGGCATTAATTAGGATTATCTCAAACTTTACCTCAGCTTTGTGTGCAGTTTCTTTTAACCATATGCCTTGTTTACTGCCTCTGATAATGAAAGGCTGGTTCAAATGACCCTGTGACGTGTTTTCTTTGGCAGTCATCTCTTGATAGCACACTGTGTGAAATCCATTCTTGTAGAGGGCTTAATCTCAAATCTGGCTTCCACATCACTCCTGCTGGGCAGCACTCAGAAACAGGGATTGTTAGACACCAAAGTCAATTTGTAGTGGTGGGGAAATAGTTTTTAGTCTCCATGGCAGATGTACCATCCCAGTTAGTTCAGCAATCTCAGCCTTTGATTATGAAGTTTTTGTCAGACTTGAGTCTCTCCAGCCCACATGCTCCATCATCCAATTCCCCCTCTACACCCACTCAACCTGAAGACACTTGCTGCCTCTGCTCCTGACCACCATGTACTCAAAGGAATGTGAGAATGGGTTCTACATATGATCAGGGTTCCTTACTGTAAATACAGACTCTGTAGCCCCACATAAAGTGCTATGTGCCTGTTTTTTTCATGCTCCACTCAATATATGGAGCCAGTGGTGTAGTGGAGCAGGAATACAGGTGAGTGTAGCTCTGGTACTTGTTTCATAGCAAGAGTGATGGAGTCATAAGATGAAGCAGGACTTTCCAGTGTTGCAAGTTTGGGAGAATTAGACGACAGGTCTGGACTGGCACGCAACCTCTTTGTTAGGAAGGCTAGGCTCAGGCAAGATCACCCTGTGAACTTCATAACTAATCAGAGATATGAACCCAGGTCGACACAGCCAAAGTCTAACATGTCGAGTGCTACACCACTCTTTGCCAATTCACTATTGACTGTCAACTGATCATGAATGGGTATTATGTTATATACTGCCTGCTTTGTAGAGCAGGGTCAGGGAACCTTGTGCCAAGGGGCCAAATGTGGCCTTTCTGGCCTCATTATACAATCCTTAGAACCTTCCTTGGCCCTTTCTTCTTCCTTCCCCAGGCAACTCCCCTCAATGGCCTTGCTCTGCATCCTCCTTCATTGCTTTTGGTTGGCTGGAATGTGTCCTTGCCTGGATAGAGAATAGAGAGGTGGGCATGTACATGAAGAAAGCTCTGCCTTTTCCATGGCTGGAATGTAAACTATTGTACTAAGGTAAGCGACGCATGGATTGCTCCTCCCACTTTTGTCTCTGGCCACACCCACCACAGCCAGAAGTTTCCTCAGAAGGGGATGTGGCCCTTGGACCACAAAACATTCTCTACTTTTGCTTTAGCGTGCATATAAATCAACACAGCTGCCATGGCTATGGACTTTCCTTGAAGGAGTGGCTGTGGGAGCTGACAGGATGAGCTCCCCTACTTCAAAACTACCACTGCACCATTACATTGTATTGTATGGTGGACAGGGGCAAACCCATTCTTGCATTCCACCAAATGCACAGTTCCCTGTGCCCATGATCCTGTTCCCATTCATACCACTGAATGTGTGAAATGGAATGTGAAAGGCTTAGAGAAGCTCCTGTAATCTTTTCTGCACTAGCAACTCGTAAAAGATACAATACGTGCGTGTTTTGTGAACTAAGGTTAGTATATGGGGATACTAACAATGAAAAGCAAAGTTACCTTGCTGCCCTGGGCGTAGCCAGGATTCTTGTTAGGGCGCAGGACTTTCGTTAGGGGGGGCAGAACCAATGTGATTGGTCAGTTAGTAAAGTATTTTTATTGTTTTACTTGATTGGGGAAGGGGGGTAGCTGCCCCTCCCTGCCTCCCCAACTATGCCCATGCTTGCTGCTTTGCCTACAGGGCATTCCAACAGCTGGATCAATGTTGAGGGACAAACATACCTGCCTATAAATATGTCTCTGCTCATGGATGCTTATGCCCACTTATTTAATATCACAGAATTAAAAACTCTGTACAAGAAACAATACTTACCCTGCATTTTAATACATGTGTAAAAACTTAGTTGATATCTGCAGCATTGTTAGTTGAATTGTCCACAGGCTTTTTTTTAGTGAGAGAGATCAACAATTATTGGTTTTAGTACATGGAAACCTCAGAAGCTGCCATATACTGAGCGAGACCATTGGTCCATCAAGCTCTGTATTTCGAAAATGACTGGCAAAGGCTCTCCAGGGGTTCAGACAGAAGTCTCTCCAGCCTCTACCTGGAGATGCTAGGGATTCAACCTGGCATCTTCTGCATGCAAAGCTGATGCTCTAACCACTGAGCGACAGCCCTTCCCCTTGCTGATGAGATTTATGAAGGGGGGAAAATACCACTAAAATTAGATTTTGCCAGTACTGTGAATATATTTATTCATGTCTGGACCAGTAGAAGAAAAACCATTTTTCCATGCTATAAATTTTATTAAAAACAACTAATTATACATTTGTATCAATAAATTAACAAACAATTGAATTGGCACGCACTAATACAGAACGTTCACTTACAAAATTGAAGTGTAATTTCTCTTTATGCATCTTTTTATACTTGTGACTGATGCAAAAGAGGGGAAATTGCTAAGTGAACTCTGGAGTGCCCTCAGTGTTACACGTGCACTCAAAACAATTACAAAAGTATTTGAAATAATACTTCCATTGGAAACAATTGGTGTGTGTGCTTGTCTTTTGCTCTGAATCAATGGATGTGTACACATGCTTTCAGAATCCATATGGATCCGTGTGTATTAGATAATACTAAATACACTTAAGGGAGAAAAGCTAGGATCAATACTGTTCTGATAATGGAAAAAATGATTTAGTAAGAAAAGATAAATGTCTGAACCCTAGAAAGGTTACATAAAGTTAGCTGCTTAAAATTAACATTACATTTCAATCATGAGTGACTTGTCTTGTTTCTCAAATATTTGAAAGACAAAACTCTTCAAGGCTGTTCTCCTTTCTGTTTTCCAGTTCATGTTGCTCCAGCTGATGATACTCAAATGTTACACGATTGATATGTTTGCCACTCGAGACCATTCGCAGCACAGTGTTGTCACAGCCTATCTTCATTTGGGCTAGTCAAAAGATAAAGAACACCTTGTTATTGTTTGGAATAACAGACAATACACGACCATGTCAGCTGGAGCTGTCCAAAATATGAGGAAAGCACTATGTTTGTGAAGGTTGCATTAGTCTATATCTAAAGCCCATTTCTATGTAATAAAAAAGGAAGAATGTCACTGCACAGCTCTCACAGAAGGATTTGTAGAATTCTGGATTTGAATGAAGTCAGGGTAGGGCGAGGGAACAAAAGTTGCATAACAGCAATGGTCATGGCATGGAAAAAAAGAAAGGAGGAATATAGAGAGGAAAAGTGGTGGTTTAAAATGTAACAACAGAAGTTTGAGTAAAGGAGGGGTGAAAGAAACTGAGAGGGAAATGGAAGTTTTAAACAACAGAGATTTGAGTTAATTGCATTCCTTATATGAAAGTACTATGAACTATTTGAGAGCTCAACATTCATTATCCCTCTCATATGAGGCAGTTAGGAATGGAAGTGTGAGTATAGCAAAAAGAATGAAACACTGAAAGGGGGACAGTGCCAGTTTCTAAAATTGGTAGAGGTTTGAGTAATGCAGAAATGGAGAGATACTGAGAGGGGGAAAGTGGCCATTTTAAACAATGACAGAAATCTGAATAAAGCAGGGATGGGGAAAGTACTGATTTTAAACAATGGTAGAAGTTTTAGTAGAGTGGGCAGGGAATGAAACTGAGTGGGAAAGGTAGCAGTTTAAAACAAGGTTTGCGTACAGTGAGAAGGGAGTTTTGAAAGGCTCTGTGATGTTAGCTTTTTATGTTATATCCATCTCTGTTACTTCATCCTGTTAAAACTGTTGTTGTTTTTAAAAAGCTCAGTGTCATCAAGTACAGCACTGGCATAGTGAAACTTACCTCAACTTGGTGCCTCCAGATATTTTGGAATACAAATCTCATCAGCCTCAACCAACACAAACACGCTGACTGAGGCTGATGGGCATTATAGTCTGAAATGCCTGAAGGGCACCAGGTTGGGGAAGGTTGGCACAGTGTCATTCTCTTGCTCCTTAGCTAAGCACCATATATGATGGACGCAACAGATAGCAGTGTCAGTGCAGTCTCGCAGCGTAAGGTGTTATTCCAGCAGTGCAGGTAAATAGCAGCAAAATATTTAGGACTTGAGTGTAAAGCAATCAGATTTCACAACTCTTTCTGTATCATTCTTTGGAAACATTTGAACAGGTGACATTAAAGCAAGAACTCACCTGGGCCATGGAAGGAGTGGCACAGATCAGCTAAAGGGAACATCTTAGAGGGATCTAACCCATTTCCTCCCAAGAGCTCCAAAAAATCTCCTACTTCTCCACAGCCTACGGTGGGTTTCTGTAAAAAGAGATGCAGAATTAAGTGCAATAGTATTGACCAAATATATTTTACTCTGAATTTTATCCAACTGCAGAAGGTTTCATGTAGCTCTTTAAATATTTTTATTTTTTAAATGGTTAACCTGCATACAGAAGCTTGTGCTACTTAGAGTGCTCATTGCCTAGGATAGATGCTGCATAGACCAGGAAAATTATCCACTGGTAGCCATTGGTGTGCAGTGATGCCATGCATGGTGGCAGCTATTGCAGAAGAATCATAGCACTGCAGCAGAGTTTATGGATCTCACCATGTAAGAAGAAACTGATCGTCACCCTCAGTCAAAGGTATTGTGTATCATGACCATTGATAAGTTAGTTAGTTAGTTGAATTCATTAATCAATTTCCACAACAGAATGTCCCAAACTGTATTTACAAAATACAGTGAAACAATTAATTTTTTTAAATCAAAAACACACCCAAAGTAAAAACAGATAAATGCTCAAGTTGGTAAGTCCATTGTCAGCATGATTCTACTAGGAGAGCTCTCAATATGCAAAAAGCCCCCTTTTATATAGAAGATAGTTTGCCAGTTTGCATCGCACTCTGCAAGGATGTAACTCCAGAATAAGTACAGATTTATGTTTACATAATGGGCTATTTAAAAGAAATACTGGTGTGGCCTGTATAAAGGATTTACAGCATAACCCGATGATCCATATAAAATTTCCATTGATGGCTTAGTACAAAACCATCAACTCACCTTTAAGCGGAGGCCATTCAAGTGGCCCAGCATAAGATCAGATATTTTTATCACCACTGGGTAGATTATGGAAAAGCTGCAGTTCCTGCGCTGATGAGGAATGACCATGGTAAACCTTCCAGCAGGGGTCTGAGAGATGACATTGCAAGCTTTAGTATAGGGGAAAGATACAGAGTTACTTGATCACAATATGTTCAATGCAGACTTTTTACCTGATGCCTCAGGACTAAACTAAATGAAATGTTTAAGCATAAAAAGAGCCTGCTGGATCAAGCCACTGACCCAACTCGTGCAGCATCCTGTTCTTACAGAGACCCACAAATAGGACTGAGCACATGAGCACTCTCCCCTTTTGCAGTTTCCAGAAACTCGTATTCTGGGAGGAAATTGACAGCCGTATCCTCCATGAATTTGTCTATTCTTTTAACGTCATCCAAGTTGGTGGTCATGATTCCCTCCTGTGGAGTGATTTCCATAGTTTAACTATCTGCTGAGTGAATAAATACTTTGGTTTAGATGTCCTGAATCTTCCAACATTAATCTTCATTGGATGTGCACAAGATCTAGCGTTGAGAGGGAGCCAAAACTTTTCTCTATCCGCCTTCTCTATGGCATGTTTCCTCTGACTCTTTTTTTTCTACACTAAAATACTGCAGCCTTTCCTCATTCCTCCCCTTGATCATTTTGGTTTCCCTTTCTAGAGCCTTTTCTAACTCTGCAATATCCTTTCTGAGGCAAGGTAACCAGAACTGTGCACTGTATTCCAAATGCAACCACACCATAGATTTGTATAGTACAGTGTAGCATTAAGACATTGACAGTTTTATTTTCAGTTCCTTTCCTAATTGTCTCTAGTATGGAATTCCTCAAATGCTTGCAAGATGATTTGTTTGTCCTCGTTAAGTAGCACAAGAGCTAGTGTGAATTGGTATATTGCTCCAGAAACTGGTGTGTTTAATTAACTCAATCTACAATAGACTATTCTAAATTATTTCAGACAAATGCTTGGCACCTGACACCAAACATTTGCAATGTCCTGATTGCCTGAAAGGCCACAATAATGGCCCTGCATCATCATCTTCATCATGATATTATGAGACAGCACTCAAGACTCATATACTACCCAATGTACTTGTTTTTTGGCAGAACAAATCTTTTGACTGGACCACAGAATATTTTATCACAGCACTGCTCATATAAATGTGCATATGAGATCACTGGCATTCTTTTTACTCAGATGACAACATGAAACAATGCTTACGGAAAAGGTTGGGCTTTTTCTTTATTGTTACTGTGAATCCATTTCCCGGGTCATGAATCCCAAAGAAGATCATTGCCACATTCTGTGATGGCCTGATGGTGCTCCTGATGCTGTTGCCTTCACAAAAATCTATGTATCTTTCGGAGGTGGGGAGAGGATGGTCCAAGGAACTGGGAAACTTCTCACCTTTCAATATCCAGCCATCAAACACCTAGAGGGATGCAGCAACGAAAAGGACAATTAGTGTTTACTTTCTCACTACAATTCCCAGAAGCACAAGCCAGCACCTGAGTGGCACCTGTGTAGCAGTTTTCCCTTAAAGCACAACCACAACCCCATAAATATGAAGTTTTTTATGCTGATCTGCTTTGCAGAGGCACAGACCACAGCGCTCAGAGCTAGATATCCTGGAGAAGCCCTGCAGAAATGCAATGACTACTGCTCAGGAATAAATGGCTCGAGAGTAGAAGCTTAAGATCCCATTCCTATTTTGCAGATCCAGGAGGAATGTTAACACTTAGGTGGGAATGAACCACTTAACAGGCCTTGCCCATGTAGTTCTGAGTTATGGGAGATCTTGTCTCCCATGTGTGTTTTTTAATTAAATAGGAGCCATGGGGCCCCAGTTTGGATTGGGAACACAGTGGTAATCCTTTTGGTTATAGAACAGTCCAGTGATATTTTTATTTGGAGTCCTGGGACCACTTCCCCCCTTCCTATCCCTTATCTGAAATGTTGGCCAATCTGTTCCACGTAAGACTTGGCATTAACATCAATCATAAGTCATCACTTAATTACTCTGCTTAATTACTCTGACATTCCCTGCAGTTTTCCACTTCAAATATTTTAGTAATTGTGTTTAATTAGAGGGGACACATTTCTGAAGCCTGGCATTTAAACTTGGAGCAATCTGAGTGATCAATATGCAGTGTCAAATGAGTGACAGTATTAGTATGTCAGGCTCCTTTTCAGCTCTTGCTCTCTTATTTGTCTCACTTTGAAGTTTGTGCCAGCTGTAAAGAAACAGATGCTGGTCCCTCCTCTCTTTCCCAAACATTTTCTGCAAAGCTTATATTGCCATCCATGACCTGATCCCGAGATTCTGGCACACAGCATAAGTTATGCACATATTTCCATGCTGTCTGAATTCATGCTTGCTACTCTCGGCTCTGATCACGCTAGGTCCTTAAGATGTACGGAGAACTGTGAAAGATACTTCATATTTCAGATCTAAGAAAATTAAAATTCTTGTATGCTCTGTTGAGGCAGACAAACAAGTGCATTGACAGGACCGATTGCTAATTGTGTTTACTTAGCAATCACTTTAGATGCTCCACATAAGGCCTTTCCATGCGATCATCGTTAAGTGCAAATAAATGCACAGTTATTATTTATTTGTTGCATGGTGTTTAGACATTATCCTTCAAGACCATGCTTTGCTTGTAGTGACAACATTTCCCAGCAGTGGATGTGCTTAATTTTCTCATTGGGAAAATGTAATTCTTCCTTGCAAGTAGTGCCTTCTTTGCTATTGAAATTGCTAAATGTGACCATAACTGTCACAGGCACACTACTGGGCATTGCTGCTGATGTGAGCAGTGATGAGATACACGTCCCTGTCCTTCTATTAGGTGGCCCTTTACAGAAGGACCTTTTAAAGCAAGGATAGGGAGCCTGTGCTCCTCTAGCTGTAGTTGGACACCAGCTCCATCAGCCTCAGCCAGAGTGGCCAATAGTCAGGAATAATGGCCAAAGAACATCCAGAGGCTGCAGGTTCATCATCCTTGTTTTCCTTTATTTCCAGTGCTTCTTGTCAATGAAGCATAACTGGCCAAAACATGCTAGATTTGGAGCAAAACTCTGACAATGTTCTGCCAAGACTCTACCTCTCTGCTCTTGACCATTTTCACCACTGAACAGAATTTACTATGTGCTGATTCTTAGCCCCACTAGCAGCTATGAAGGAAACCAGGGGCGGCCAATTCTCTTTTGCTCCCTGAGGATAAATGGGAAGGTGGCACCCCAACTGCTGTCCCTCCTGCTCTCTTGCAGAAACCTTGCTTATTGAGATCATGTGGCAGCTTCCGGCAAGATCTCTTGTGACCACTGTGGTACCAGGAGGTGGGTGGTGTGCCCACAGGGGCACTGCTCAGTGGGTTTCCACTGCCTGAGGCAGATGCTTCAGTCTGCTTGATGGGTGGGCTGGCCCTGAAGCAAACATTAGCCCTGCAGCTAAGAGCAGACCTGCAGAGAAGGGATTCTGGTATTGTGAGTTCTTCCACTTGCCATGTGTGTGATTAACCATGTCCTGGGAAAATGTTGAGAACGGATTGGAAGGACAACCTTTATTCTGACCCTGTTTGTGTATCCACTGCCAAATCAGCATGCCAGATCCTCCAAAAGGGGCAACAGTTTTCTCTCTTCTGCCCTGCTGCACACATTCACACATTCAGGACAGCCCTGCTAAGACCACCAGGCATTGCAAACCTCATACCTTCAGGAAATCTCCTGCTTGACAGTCAATGTTGACAAAATCAAAGTCTATTGTGAGGAGCTCGGTTGGGTCTGCTATGAAGAAAGTAGCACAGTGCAGCTGGGGCTGCTGTGCCGTGAAGCTGAATTGTCCTTCTATGCTCAGCATGTCAATGCATCCTGGAGATGGGGAGAATAAAGGCAACCGAGTGATTCCTTTCTGTCTCACAGCTGATTCTCATTCTATATTTTGTTTTCAAACAGAGATACCAGAATGAAAAGTAAAAAAGCCTTTCATCAAGGGTGTTCCTGATGAGTGATGTATTGTGGGATCAGCAATTCTCAGGAACACAAGCTGCTTGCAGGGTCTGCACAAAATACTAAAACATCTCTCCCCCCCCCCAATTTAATTGAGATTGCCCCCTTTCATGGAAAATCCAATTACCAAAGAAAACCTGTTCCCAATGACCTGTTTGTGATGTTAAGCTCCCCTCTAAAACACCTTTTGTGGCCCTGCTAGGTATTACCCGACTCCTATTTATGCATTCAGACCTTGCTAAGCTTCACTGGGCTCACGGTAGCTCAATCTAAAAATGATGCTTGCTCATATTTCCATTTTGGTTTCCTTAACGGACAACTCTAATAAGTATTTTTCAAGTCATCAATTTAAGCTGATCTTCATGGAATCAAGACAACCACGGCTTTAACAAATTGCTTGCTTGTACCTCTTAGGCAACCAGAAATTCCATGCTGGCCCGTGAGTGAGCTGGTGGAGGATGGATGGAATTCTTGACAGCCACTGCCGTATGGGCAAATAGTCTGACCATGTATAAGGCATCGTCCTCAGTTTTTAAATTAATCCAATAAACATAACAGTTACTATCCTTATTTTGTAAACCTAAAAGCTTTAGAATGAATGGCCGTAAACTGTCTCTCTCTTATTTCATTGCCTTTTGACCCCACTATTTACAATTTCTGCTCTAAGTATGTGGATATGTGGTTACATTTGTGTGTGTGGAAGAGAGAGAAAGAGTGTGAGAGATCACACACACACACACACACACACACACACACACTGCTTCTGAAGGTAGCACTCCATGCATCTTATGAAGGGAGCTCTTACGTACAATCTGCTTTTCATTCGGTATCCATCTATTCCCAATGAGCACATCTCAATTCTCTGTCCCAGAGATGCTCTCTGCAGAACAACATCAGGAGCAGAACATTGTCAAGCCTTCCCCCCACATCCTGGCATTCATTGCCTACTATTTCGTCCCCACTCTGCTCAGGGTAGAGCACTGTTTTCTGAGGTGGCAGCCACAATAATCCTTGCTTAAAAGAATGGTGTACAGTTTTTCCTCCCAAAGGGAATCCATACCTCCTGTTTCCCCAGCTAGGGGTTAATAAACTTGGAGATGCAAGGGCTCAGGAGTAACATAGCAATGAAGGCCACGCACTAGGGTGCTTTTCTCTCAATACAAAAGAATCAAAATTAGAACTGACATATTGGGAATTAGTGGTAAGGGGATTCCAAAAGAAGCAGCATTACTTTTAAGACGAGATGAGCCTCATAATCTCTCTCCGTACTACTTCCCTTAACCAACTTCTGTTCCCTCTTCCCTCTCAAAGGTCACCACAGCCCTCTGTACTCATATTTCAACAACACTTCTTCTTCCTCTCCCTCTCCCTCAGTTTTCTTTCCTGCCGCACTTCCTCTAGGTCATCATCTCCCAGTTGTCAAAACTCCACCACAAGAAGAATTCATTTGTAGAAACACTGGAGAGATGCTGAAGCTGGAAGTAAGCCCCACATCCTGGAAGTGAGCCCCATGGACTAGAGGTCCTGGCTCCTTAATTCCAGGGGGGGAAAGGATGCTTGACTGTCCTTATTTGTTAGAATCCGAAATGCATGGAGTGATCAGATGCAAAACAGAACAATATTTTTCAGAGTTGAACAGAAGAAGGGATTTCTGCAAACTTCTCCTGTCAAACTGTTCTCTTCTATGTAGCTATGCAACTATCTCTGTACTATTAAAGAAATGGCTTATGTTGCAGATCACCCTAGAAAGGCACTTTCTTTTTTCTTGCCAACACTGTGCTTTGGCACTCAAGAAAAGGGCTCCATAGCTAATTTCCCATTATGTACATGTATTTATCACCTCATTCATTCCTTCCCTTTGTAACCTTTAAGTCCACCCCTCCTCCCCATCTTCCAATTTTATAACTTAGTTTACAGTGAAATCTTAACCACGCCTATTTGGAAGTAAGTCCTATTGAATTCAGGTAATTGGCGCCAGGACTGCAGCCTTCGGCTGAAAGAGCGTGACTGGCTCAAGGTCACCCAAAGAGCTTCATGGTGGAGCGGCATTTGAACCTGGGACTCACCCAGCCTTCTAGCTTTCTGCTCTAGTCTACACGTACAAATGGCCTTGGTAAGAATAAAAACGAAAGTGCTTCTGAGCATGTGCAGAGTGCCATTCTAGGGAGAACTAGTTGAGGTTCCTCCTGTCCTGTGTCTTTAATAGCTATACAAAAGAGTTTGACAGGATGCAGAAATCCCATCTCCTGTTCAACTCCCTGGAGGGTCACAGGTCTCCTCACCTTTGCTCTAGCCACTACACTGCGCTGCCTGGCGCATTCCCCTGGCCTCCATCCCCTCCTCTCCCCGGGCTCTTCGGCTTCCATCCCTTCCCCAGCCCAGCCCGGAGTCCCACCCATGAAGTGGGCTCCCCTCCTCGACCGCCCAGAAGGAAGCGACTCACGCAGCGCCCGGCGGTAGAACTGCCCCTCGGAGAGCTCCCTCTTCAGCTCCGCGTTGAGCAGCAGAAAGGGCTCCTCGGCGCCCGCATCCCTCACCTGGAGACACAAAGGCAAAAAGGACAACAGCGGCGTCAGCAGCAGCAGCAGCAGCGCGCCCAGCTCCCGAAGGAGAGACACGCTCTCTCTCCCACATCCTAAGTGCTTTCAGGCTGGGGATCTCTAAGAGGGGAAGGGGCGTCCGAGCGCCAGGGCATTGCTCACCTCGAAGTACCGGCTCTCTCCCACCCGGAGGGCTGCCAGGAAGACCAGGAGGAGGGGACCCTGGAGCCGGAGAGCCATGCTGCTGTTCCCACGCTGGTCCTCGCTGAAGTTTGCTCTCCTGCCTCTGCTGATAGGAGGAAGCAGCAGCAGCAGCAGCGTCGTCTATGGGGCTCCTTCCCTCTCCCCCTTTTTCTTTTTATAGAGCACTTGGGAAGGGGAGGCATCCTGTCCCCTGTCTGATAGGGTAACCCATGGTAACGGGATTCCTGACAGGGCGACAAAGTGCGTGGCGATGACGAGGAGGGTCCAAATTGACAGCTGCGCGCCTCCTCGTGCCCACTCCCTGCTTGCAAAGCCCCAGCGAGATGTGCTGTCTCTCGCTCGCTGTTTGCCCACTTCCAGCTTTTGGGATAATTTAGCATTTCCACATCTAAACTGAATGCAAACTGCATACATCACAGAACCATAGAATCACAGCACTGTAGATTTGGAAGGGACCCCGAGGGCCGTCTAGTCCAACCCCCTGCAGCCAACAATCAATATATATCAAGATTTGCAGACCTGCTTCACTTCTGATAGGAGAGCTGTCAGGCTTTTAAGAATGCTTGCAAGGTACATTCCTTTACCTGACAGCCTTTCCTCCTAATCATCCCAGATGTGCAAGGGGGAGCTGGTGGGGGGAAGAAAGCAGTTGTCACATGCTCAGAGGCACTATGCTCTTCAGTAACCACCACAAGCCCCAAGGCTAAGTTTACTGCAAGCTGAAGTCAGGCTCTGGGGCCAAGCCTTGGTCTAAATTAAGTCCTGGTTTTCCCAAATGAAGGAGGTACAAATAAACCTTTTTCTCTTTCCTCATCTCAAACATAGCTGGATATACACTATACTTTTTAAAGCGCATTCAAAGCACATGCCCTCCCCTCATGTACTGTGGTTTACCCCTCACAGAGTTAGTTTTCCCAGCAATCCTAAATGAATCCCAGTGACCAGCTGGCTTTGCTACACCATCAAATCCTGAGAAGGGACACAGAGTCACCGTTTCTTCTAGCCAGGGTGGGTGGGAAGCATCTCTCATCCTTGGGGCTGCATTCACTTGTGGACAACATTATAGAACCTATAGCACTAAGGCAACCTCTGTGAAAATAAACTCTGCCACTGTTTGTTATGTTATTACTTTGTGGCTGCACTTAACTTTACCTCACCTCAACCCTGGGTGCAGTATATATCCAAGAAGGCTGGCTACGGAGCTGTCCTAGCCTGTTCTCTGAAATAAATAGAAAGCACTCCAGTTGCAAATCTGTGATGGGGTCACCAACCTGATAGCTAATCAAGCCAACCTTTGCACAGGATTTAAATTTGTACCCCTTCACAAATACCATCTGGTTGCATCTTTTAAAGCAATCTCATTTCAGAGTTGTTCTAATTCCAGCTTGACTCATCTGTGGATACATTGTCAATCATTCTGATACTGCCTGAAGATTCTGGGTGTCAGAACTTTTGCCCCTTTATGCTGGAAAACCAAGGCAGGGTTGTAAATAACCCAAGAGGAGTTGCTTACTGCTTAGAGGGGTGTGATAAAACATTATGATGCACTGGTCATTGCAAGTAAGGCACACTGGAGTTGCTTTCAGTAGACAGATGGACTACCTTAGATACCCACCTAAGATATCAAAGGGGACTTGGCAGGGTATGGATGGGATCCAGAGGCTAAGTGAAATAAACTGTGTGATGGAGCATGTGATGTCAGAGAGGTGTGACCTTCATTTGCAACTGTGACCAGCCTTTTAATAGCACCATCTGCTTAGCTATAGTAACAACACCACTTTTATGAGTTGAGAGTTGTATGTGCAGTTTCATATGATACAGATGAGGAAGATATTGAAACAAGGGAGTCCTTATGGCTTAGAGCTATTATCCACTGAATAGGAAAGAACATTGGAAAATTAAATTAGGACACATAGCTGATGAATTTGCTGAACAAAAGAAATGCAAAGTGATGCTTAAATTTATGAGAAGAAATATTACTATGATACGCTTATCTACTAGTTTGCAGATGGTAACATTTTTTTTATGATTAACTGTAATGAAGAGTTGTGCTGAGCAGCTGAAGACGAGCTTCCATTGTGCTAGCTGTGTTCTGTTTGTTTCAGTTGGAGGAAAGGGATCCATACTGAAAACCTGCTACAAAGCCTATTTTTCTCTTCCTTCCGTTTCCTCTGTTCCTGGTCTCGATCCTCATTATTTTTTGCAATGGTTGATTGAATGATGTCCACAATGGCCCATGACTAAATTGACTAAATTAAACCCATTTTAATTGATGGACAGTGTAATTCTATTCAAGTCTATCCAGAATTAAACCCTGCTGATTTCAGTGGGCACTAGCCACAAAGTTCACATCCTATCTCCACTGGTTGCCAGCTGCTGGAAATTCAGGACGGGAGAATGCTGTTGTGCTCAGGTCCTGCTTTCAGGTTTCCCACAGGAATCTAGCTGGCCACAGTGAGAACAGGATGCCGGACTAAATGGGCCATTGGCCTGATCCAGCAGGTTCTTTTTATGTTCTTACCTGCTCTCCCCTGAAAGTATGCACAGGTTTGTAGCCAGAGTCCATTTCTGTGCTGTTTCCTTCTGTGCTGGTCCAGCAGAACCACACTTCCCAGTGTAAGTTATCCACCAAGGGATGAAAGCTGTCTCCATCCAATAACCAGGCTTGAAACCAGCTTGAAATGGAGCTAGGTAACCAAGAAACCCCTGGAGCTGAGATGCCACCACATGCGTGGGATATTGGAGACTGGCTGACAATTATCCAGTATGGTGGGATTCAGGAAGGGCTTTTTTTGAGGAGGAAGGGCCGTCCTCCTTTAGGCATGTTGGAACATTGCCTTGTTGCAAGGAGGCACTGGCTACTCCCTCCACTCAAGCTAGTCCCCCACTGGTCTTTTTAATGAGCCAGGAAGGGCAAGGATCTAACACACATAGTAGGAAAGTCTGACAAGCTGGCATTTGGGATCTAGTCTGGTCATCAGAAATCCTGCAGGAAGGGAAATCTGATGAAATGGGGTTCTAGCTGCTGTGCCGGCAGAACTTATTTACTTTTGTTTCTTAAGAGCTGCACCACAGAATTTCCAGTTTTATCTCCCAAGGCTCTGTCCAAATACCGTATTTTTCGCTCTATAAGATGCACCAGACCACAAGACGCACCTAGTTTTCGGAGGAGGAAAACAAGAAAAAAAAATATTCTGAATCTCAGAAGCCAGAACAGCAAGAGGGATCGCTGCGCAGTGAAAGCAGCAATCCCTCTTGCTGTTCTGGCTTCTGGGATAGCTGCGCAGCCTGCATTCGCTCCATAAGACGCACACACATTTCCCCTTACTTTTTAGGAGGGAAAAAGTGAGTCTTATAGAGCAAAAAATACGGTACTTCAGCAAAAAGATCCCTTAAGCTTCCCACAAACACAAATGGAAACAGAAACAACATTGTAACAGGAAACTATCACTCTTCATACCAGCCATATCCTTAGGCAAATGGATACGGTTTCACACGGCATTCATTAAAATGATTTTTGTTAGCACCTGCTGGGAATCTTATTTGTTAGTATATAATCTAATGAAAACACATTAAGAGACTAACATTGCTTCAGGGAACATTAAATAATGTAGTTTTCTGCTTCATGTTATTGGGGCCTCATCTGCACTAGGAAATCACACATTCATAACTCACTGCCCAATTAGCCAAAAATATAGTTTTATACTGGAGATATAAAAACACCATTGTAGTTCACTGCACACTTCCTGCCTGGCTTCCACACAGGTGGCAGAAAGTTCAGAGCAGCTTTTAAATGGTTGGTTTCCTTTCCTATGTATTTACAGTGGTGCCTCGCAAGACGAAATTAATTCGTTCCGCGAGTTTTTTCGTCTAGCGAATTTTTCGTCTTGCGAAGCACGAAATCCCATAGGAATGCATTGAAATCCAATTAATGCGTTCCTATGGTCAAAAAGTCCAAACAAAGCCAAATTTGGTACAACAAGAGTTTATTAAGTGCTCTTTAAAGTCACACATACTGTAAAGAGCATTTCAAAAACTGAAGGAACAATAAATTAAGTTTCTAAACATGACAGGAAAAACATTTAAAAATCAACAAAGTGTACATTACATTTTCTAAGACTCTGGGGGACCACTCGAAGAAGGTTCCTCTTCCACTCTTTGCTTCTTGCTTAAGAACCTGTCCATGGTCTGCTGCTTCATCCGCCTTTTCAGCACCTCCCTGAAAGGCGACATGATCATCGTATCAAAAGTGTTCACAAGGTCATGTGCCACATGCTTGTTAGGGTGGTTCCGCTCTGCAAAAGCCTGCACATCCTTCCACTTCATGCAAATGTCCCTCAGTTCTTTGGAGGACAGCCGTTCCTCAGTTGCTTCCTCCTCTTCCAGCGAGGCCTGCTCCTGCGCAGCCTCTGCCTGCAGTTCGACCAGCTCCTGGGTGGTCAGCTCGTGGTCGTGCTCCTCCACCAGCTCGCAGACGTCCTCCTCTGTGACCTCCAGGCCCATGGTCCTCCCCAAGGCAACAATGTCCTGCACCACTGTTGACTCTGGTGCATCAGAGTCACTTGGTGCCACACAGTCCGGCCACAGGCTGCGCCAAGCGCAATTCAAATTTCTCTGGCTGATCCCTTTCCAGGCCGTGGTGATCATCTTCAAGCAGGTGACGATGTCGAAGTGGTCCTTCCAGAATTCCCGCAGGGTGATGGTGGTGCAATCAGTCACCTCGAAGCATCGCCTGAAAAGCTCCTTGGTGTAGAGTTTTTGAAATTGGCGATGACCTGCTGATCCATCGGCTGGAGCAGTGGCGTGGTGTTAGGCGGCAGGAACATGATGTTGATGAAGCTGAACTCCTCCAACAAGTCCTCCTCAAGGCCTTTAGGATGAGCAGGAGCATTGTCCATCAGAAGCAAAGCCTTCAGCGGCAGGTCGTTGTCCAGCAGGTACTGTTTGACAGCAGGGCCAAAAGCAAGATTGACCCAGTCCACAAACAGCACACGTGTGACCCAAGCCTTGCTGTTGGATCGCCACATGACACTCAGCTGCTCCTTGTCGACCTTGTGTTTCTTGAAGGCCCGTGGGTTCTCCGAGTGGTACA